CTGCCACAGTAGAAACCAATTGGGTCCTATATCCTGAAGCGGGGAGAAGCTGTAGAGTGGTGCCATCAACGCTCATTGATACCGGGGCCTTCAACCTTGTATTATTTGAAGTAAAGTTAAAAAGGGTTTGTGAAACTTTTATCACTGTTTTTATTCTAACCATTCTTTCCCCCTCTTTCAGAGTCTGCTGATTTTCTTTGTTTAGCAAGTATCGGTTCCTTTGGACAGTGAAGGCTCCATGTTAGACATTCCTTCGACAGTTTCACTGGGAATCAAAGATTTGTCGGTCTTAATTCGTCTGGTTATCGGGTGTTTATTGTTTTAGGTAAATGTTTTTGGTGTAGGCAAACTGATCATCTCTATATTGTACGAGGTTCGGTCATAATATCGAAGCATATGGACTAGTTTTGGTGAATTAGGTGCTTCCTTCGTTTAGTTTGTGCTGACATTAGTATAGCCCTTGGGGGCTAGGAACTGTAACAAACTTTTCCCTTGTTCTTAAACCACTATTTTATCAAGTATATGGTGAACTATCCTCTTTTTGTTTATGTTTTCCAAACCCTTGTAAATTGATTTGTAAAATTGGGGTTAGTAGCCCTTTTACAAACCCACCAACCAAAAATAGTCGTCTCGAAATGCCCTCTTTGACGAAAATACCCTCATTACCGACGCAATATTGGCAGATTATTGACTCAATCTTGAGGTATTTTCGTCATAGAGGACAAGTAGAGATTGCATTATGCGAGGAGGGCTAGTTTTGGTTAGTGTATTTGTAAAATGCTTGTAAGCCCGATTTCCCATTCATTTTTTATCTACCGTGCATAATTTTCACAAAATTACTGTGGTGAAGTCTTTCCTCTGTGGTATGCTAATTTTTGTTGTATCACGTGAGTAACTCACTGTGAGAATTCGTTTCGTGCAACTGATCACATTTGTTGTATTACGTGAGTAGCACGATCTGTGAGAGATTCGTTTCGTGTAACAGATTCTACTTATTGTATTACGTGAGTAGCACGATCTGTGAGAAATTTGTGTCGTGCATCGAATGCATGAAAGTGATTCTCCCGCGTCATATTGGTGAAGCTTTTATTATGAGATGGACGTTAGGACTTAGGCATGGCGGTGGACTTTTGTTTCGTGGTCTCAATTTTGCCACATTGGCAGCTTAAAAGTTTATAAACAGTTGAGTAACAACTCAAGTCGTGTCTGATTTTGGAACAGTTTCTAGTTTGGTCGGTTTCAAATACGAACATCACATTAAAACCATAAAATTAGCAATGCCCTCTCAATCTAGTGACTTCTTTTGATTTTTCCCTTCGACTCTTAAAATGTGCAAAATTTGCCAATTAGTTTTTTTTTTTTTTTTTTTTTTCAAATTTATTACATTTTTATTAGTTCTCGTTTGATCGAATTGATGAAAATGATTCTAAATTTAACGGAATAATTTCATAACTGATAGTAGGAGCGAATTAGCACGTTCTAAAATATTAGAACTAAATTACAAATTCAACGGACAAAATTTGTACCCAAATTAAAAGTTCAAGAGTTCAAACTGGAATAAGTAATATGTTTGAGGTAATGCTAAATGGTGGTTCTATTTACTCGTTATTTTTTACTTCTCACATGTTTTTTTAATTTTTAATCGTCGAATCAAGTAAATTAAAAAAATATTAAATCATATAAATATAAAATGATGTGTTATAAATAAAAATAGACGTGCGATAGCACATTTTCGATATTAAAAAAGGTTCTCAAAATCTCATAATCGCACTACCGTAATTTAGGAAAATCCAAAATATAGAAGTCCAAAAATGGGTAAACGTAAATCCCAATTAGCAACCTAAAAAATACACTAATCCTGAGAAAATTAGAAATTCTCGTTTACGCCCGGATGCAAAACTGACACGGAGAAAACAGCTTCAGGCTAAATATTTCGGCTTTCCTCAAAACTCTCCTCCCTCTCTCTCTCTCTCTCTCTCTCTCTCACAGCTCCTCTGAAGCTCCACGGTCATGGCTTTGCTGACCCGAGCCCGCATCCCTCTCCAGCTCTCGGCCCAGCGGGCCCTCTCTCTCCACACCACCGTCCCCTCCCTCTCGTCCTCCGCCCCCTCCGGCTCCACTCCCGCCACCTATGCCCGCCCTCCTCCCCCTTCCGCCTCCCCGCCCCCTCCTGGCCTCTCTAAGGCCGCCGAGTTCGTGATCTCGAAGGTCGACGATCTCATGAACTGGGCCCGTCGCGGCTCCATCTGGCCAATGACCTTCGGCCTCGCCTGCTGCGCCGTCGAGATGATGCACACCGGAGCCGCCCGCTACGATTTGGACCGATTCGGCATCATTTTCCGGCCCAGTCCTCGCCAGTCCGATTGCATGATCGTCGCCGGCACTCTCACCAACAAGATGGCACCTGCTCTCCGCAAGTAAGCAACAACCCCGTCCTTTCCTCTCAATTTTCTGAATCGCAGTTTTAGGATTTCTGGATTTTTGAGCTTAGAAAATGTTTTGGTGATTATTAGATTTGTATTTACCTAATGTAATCTCAAATTGGAACAATTGGGGGCTTTGATTAAGCTCAATTTTAAGGAAATCTCCGATTAAATGGGAATAACATGTACACCCTTCTCCTCCAGTTCGTTATTAGGAGATGCATTTTACCAATGACAGTGCTGGTTATGGTGATTAGCCAAGTTCATTAGAGCAGTATGCTCCCGCTCCCATCAAGTTCGACCACCTTCTAGTTTAGATTAGACTAGATTATCGCTTGAATATAAATAATGTATTAGCTCCGGTTCGTTATTAGGACTTAGGAGATGCATTTTGCCGATCAAGTGCTGGTTATGGTGATTAACCAAGTTTGTTAGAGCAGTATGCTCCCGCTCCCATCAAGTTCGACCACCTTCTAGTTTAGATTAGACTAGATTATCGCTTGAATATAAAAAATGTATTAGCTCCAGTTCTTTATTAGGACTTAGGAGATGCATTTTGCCAATCAAGTGCTGGTTATGGTGATTAACCAAGTTCGTTAGAGCAGTAGGCTCCCGCTCCCATCAAGTTCGACCCCCCTCTAGTTTAGATTAGACTAGATTATCGCTTGAATATAAAAAATGTATTAGCTCTTGAATAACTAAAACTAGTTCCAAGGGGGTTGTAGCTCAAATATTTAAGAGGATTGTGTGTGTTTCAATGCATGGGATTTGCCCTCCACAATATCACTTGTATCGAAGAAAAAACTACTGTGTTGTTTTGATCTTTATGCTGAAATTTTATTGCAGGGTTTATGACCAAATGCCTGAGCCGAGATGGGTCATCTCCATGGGAAGCTGTGCAAATGGAGGTGGTTACTACCATTACTCCTATTCTGTTGTTAGGGGTTGCGACAGGATTGTCCCCGTTGATATCTATGTTCCAGGCTGCCCTCCCACCGCCGAAGCCCTACTTTACGGCCTTCTCCAGCTGCAGAAGAAAATCAACCGGCGCAAGGATTTCCTCCTTTGGTGGACCAAGTGAGGGCTTTCATCTTGTGTTTGGGGAGCTGCTTTCGCTATATTTATCCAATAATAAGTCTATCTGGTGAGGTTTGCCCCGGCTAAGCACCATGTAAAGGGAGAGGTTTTGCATTAACTTGTTATCAATTTTAGATCCCAGGGTGTTCTGTATTGTGCTTTCTGCATATTTCCGTCGTTTTGGAGCTATAATAGTAGCCACAGATTCTGTAAAACTTTTTTCTGTTTCAATCTGGGTGCTTGAACTAATCTCCCATGTTTATCTACTTGTTTGATTGATTGTTGGAAGCTGCTTATACTTTTTGTTTAACCCGAGATTAAGCAATGTAGCCGTGCTTTTCGTAAACCCTTGAGTTTGTGATTTCAGTTTCAAGTAGTCATATTATTGTTGGAAATCTTGTTGTCTGAGACTGGTCCAAGGGTTCTAGGACTCTACTCGGAGGTCATGTGTTGACGATCCAACCGGGTCACCTAGGTGCCCGAGGACTTCAATGTGCAGGACATGAACCCCATCTCCCGAAACCCAAATGCCGGGGACGGGGATTGGGGACCTCTGGAAGCTTGGGACTCAAATCTGGGACCTTTCGACGCATGAGATTTGGACTCAGAACCTCGGTGTTTGGTAGCCCCAATCACACGATCATTTTGGCTTGTTTATTAAGAAGGGTGAAACATATCTTAGTATTATCATGTCCAATTCAATCCTAACCTCCTGATCAAGTCCAATCCCATTCAACAAACAGGACATTATTGGTTATCAATCCTCCGGTATGCAATATCTTAGTAGGTAGGGTGTTGAGTTTCTACTAATGCACCCCAAATTCGAAACTCTCTCCTCTTAATTAATGTAATAGTTTTTAACTTTCCCCTCCCTTTAATAATAGTAAAATTTTAAAAATAAAAAAGATGACAAAATCCTCGGAATATTGCATTACAAAACTCAGCATTAATTTTTGCTTCTCCGAATGATCGTGCTTATTGCTTAGATTATTTTATTCTGTGTTCTCCCCAATTAAAACGTAAATCTTATATGGTGTTCTCACTGCATAAAAACAAACATAATCGTATTTAACCGTCTATAATTATGTACTCTTATGTATATATTCTTTGGTAACTATTTTTACGTTTTACTTACAATTACCGCGTTGAGAAAAATAAAATTAATTGACCAAAAGAAAGGGTATAAAGCCTCACAAATTCTTTTCACTTTTACATTTTTACTTAAGACGCGTTTGGTAAAATTAACAGACCTTTATTCCCGTACGCAAGCAAAGGTGTTTGCGAAAAAAAAAAAGAATCTTAACGAACACTGGTACGATTCACTTTTAACGTTAATAACATTTTTATTCTACAACTTCATTTTTGGTATTATTTACTTATAATACTTTTTTTTTATCCTTTGATTAATTCGAAAGTTTTCAAACATTTTCATCATTTTTCTTAAGAAAGTATCCTTACGTATAAATATCCAACTGGTGTTTTTCCACCTCACCTTATCCCTCACTCCTCTCTCTCTCTCTCTCTCTCTCTCTCTCTCTCTCTCTCTCTATCTTCTAGGGTTTCTACGACAATGGCCGATGAAGCCCAATACTCATCCGGTCCTGATTCAGGGAACAAGCGGAAGTACGAGGAGCAAACGCCGCCGTCCACCCGCAGAGTCACCGGTTTCTCGGCCCCCATCAAGTCATCGTCCCCCGACTCTGCGCCAACGTCGTACAGCAGCGTTCCTCCGCCCATGGAAGATTTCCAGCTGGCCAAGCAGAAGGCGCAGGAGATCGCTGCTCGGTTGTTGAACGGCGGCGATGCTAAGCGTGCTAGGGTTGAGAATGGTGGTTCCGACTCTTTTGACAAGGGCTTTAGCTCTGGTCCGCCAGGTTCGCCTTCCATCTTTTGAATTTTGCTTTTTTCCATTAAATTTTTATTCTCTTTTTATTTAATTTTTATGCTTGTTTATTATATTGTTAGGGTTTCGGTTAGTTTTTTAATATGCTTGACATCCAAGAATTTGATTGGGTTTAGTGTTTTAGGGTGATGCGGAGTTGCTATTCGTGTTTTGATTGTACATGTTTATGCTTTGAATGTGAATATCAATGCAACAATTGTAATTTTGGTTTTGTGAAAATGATACAGATCCAAAGCCTCACTTCTCAAACCCAGCTCCTTCTTCGATCCCTGTATCTTACGGTGGGTTCGTGGGACCAAGCAAAAAGATTGAGGTTCCCAATGGCAGGGTTGGTGTCATAATTGGTAAAGGTGGGGAGACTATCAAGTATCTACAGACTCAGTCAGGCGCCAAGATTCAAGTTACCCGAGATTCTGATGCGGACCTCAATTTTCCAACTAGGATGGTGGAGCTCATGGGTACTCCGGAGCAGATTGCGAAGGCCGAGCACTTGATAAATGATGTTCTTGCTGAGGTTCGGCTTGGGCATTAATTTTTTTAGATGAGTTTTATCATCTGCTTGTGATATATTAAAAAAAGTTCACACATTTAAGTTTGAAATCCTCCACATTGTGATCATTTTTGTTAATTTTGAGATAGTTGAGTTTTATCAAATTGGTACATATGATCTTGGAAATATGGCTTACACATATAAGCTCTTATGTTTGTTCCAGGCTGAATCAGGAGGTCCTGCCATAGCTTCTCGAAGGTTAACTGTACATACTGGTGGTGAACAATATGTTACGAAAATTCCTAACAACAAGGTACAGACTATGTAGTTTTTATATTTTTGTCTGCGTGTTTTGGTGATTTAGTTATTGAGGATTCGTGACTATGTAATCTCAGGTTGGGCTTGTAATTGGTAAAGGAGGGGAAACAATAAAAAGTATGCAAGCTGGGTCTGGAGCTCGTATCCAGGTTTGTTTTCAATCTTGGGCAGAATATTGGTCTTTTTTATGGTTTTTTATTTGTCTTCTTTTGGATGGAACTCTATGTATTCTTCTATCATTTTTCTTGATTGTACACATAACTTTTCTGGTATATCGGTTTGAGTAACGCATCTGGGTGGAATCAAATATAAGAAATGGTTTATGGGCTGACATTTCATTTGTTTTAGGTTATTCCCTTGCATCTGCCACCTGGTGACCCATCAACAGAAAGGACGCTACAGATTGATGGTACTACTGAGCAAATTGAAGCTGCAAAACAGTTGGTAGCTGAAGTTATCAGTGAGGTTGGTTTTATTGGTGTTTGCCTTAAAATTTGGCTTGTACGCCTCTCTGATATATTTAGTAGTCAGAAGTTGTTAGCTTCAGGAGGAGTAGGCTACAATAGATGTGATTCTCTAGGATGTATAGTTTTGCATGGCCATTTAAACTTCTGTTTTCTGTCAATGCATTTAATTTGCACACGACTACTTTCTGCAATCAGATTTTGGGGTTTTTTGTTGATATGTTGAGGTTCCCTGTTGTAGCGATGTTACTTATTTTGTATATTCATACTGTTCATATTGCTTGCTCAAATTAGGTTAACCAACCTGGTTGCTAGATTTACCATTTTGCATTTTGCTTTGGTATTAATTTTTTTTCTTGCAGGGCTTTGTGTATGTTTTTTTAATTTTAAATTTTGAGCTCAATTAATCCGTACCATTTTCTGATAAGCCCTTGGACAGTTTTATCTCTTGATATTGTTAAACATTTTCCCTGATAATGAGTTCGTCTCCTTTTTATTTTCATTTTGCATTTATGTTGTGCATGATGCTACATTTCTGTCTCTAAATTGAGTTTCTCTGCCTTTTCGTTCTCTTTGTTTTATGGATTTGACTTTTATGCTGGTTAGTTGCATTTACATTGTACAATTGTTCTAGGTATGTATTTTGTAGTCTATCTGGTTGTGCAATTTTTCCACTGTGTCATGTAAGTTGTAGATACTAATTCCAGTCGAACTATTGCTGACTTTATATTTTCGGCCAATGGTGGACCACAGTATCCCTAATGTTGTACTGGTTAGTGGTTACGTCACTTGGTATTGTGAATATGTTTATGACCCAAATATTATGATTTTATGAGGATTGGATAAGTTTGTATGGTCCTCAATTGTCTTTTTTGGCTTTAGATCTTATTAATTCAGATTTTTTTTTTGCGCTAATCTTTTTGCCATGCACAGTGTGGCTGGCAGAGATTGAGTCTAACATGTCAAGTGAACACTGGAAGGAGCCTGTTTATGCAAGTATTTATTCTTTGGGTTTTGTAGCATTTGCTGGGATCTAGTTTCAACTTAAGAAACTGGTTGGCACGATTTCACCTCTGCGAAATCCATTTGGATGTCATATAGATTTAGCTTTAATTGTATAAACCTGCAGGGTAATCTGAATTGTTATCATAAATGGATACAATAAGTTTCTTCTTCCCATATGATTGATGCAGATATTGGCTTATTTGACCTTAAGATTGAACAAATATTTGGAGGAGTGATTACAACAAATTGGGCTGTTCTTGGCCATTTGCGCTTATTGGGAATTTAGTCTACGGGAGTTCATATTACAGGTTTAGGTTATTAAGTTACATTAAAGTTTCATTAACTCTCATAATGTTTAACATTACGATTATTGGTTCATTAAGTGAAAAATTATTGGGACAACAACTTGATCTACCATCAATATGCTTATTTCTCTTATATCATATAACTGATTCTTATTGGGAATTATTGTAGGGTTAGTTTGTATTGGACTGTTGGTGACACCAACATGGAATCCTTTGTGTTGGTGTTCCCTTAGCATCACTCTGGTATGGTTCTAAATCCCGTTTTCTGGTATTTAGTAATGATATTGTGGAGTGAAGCTTTCTGTTGGAGGGATTGAAGGTTAATAGTATAACTCCTAGAAAACTTGAACCATTTTATTCTAAATATATTAATTAGTTGTGAATTAGTTTAATGTTGGAATATTGGACTTTAAATCATAGTTGTTCTATCGAGTATTTTTTATTTTGTCATAATTATGTAGTGCTTCGCTGTATTGAAGCCTCCATCAAATTATTAGATTTTCTTGGTATTACGTTACAAGTATTTATACTGTTTATTCTGTAGTGTTTTTAAAATGTTTTATAGCTTTATAGTTGTGAGAATTTCTTCGAATCTTTTGTCAAGATATTGAACAGTTTTGGTTGGCTTCCATAAAATTTGTTTTCCTGTCTTTCTGCTGGATTTAATATCTGAGTACCATTTTATTGAAGTCCAGCTTGTTTTTGCTGAACTTGAATTTTATTATCAGTCAGCCTCACCTGCTTTCTGTTTATTTCTTCATTCTTTTTCCTGTTTATCTGCATGGTTTTTAGTTCTATATTATAGCTTATTTCTTCAGAGGAGTATTTTCTTATTTTTTTTGTTGAGTACACATATTGAGGGTCCTTCATCCTAATTGTTCAGAACCTCTTGTCCCTTTTCTTGCTATATTTCTGTTCTTTTTATTATATCCTGGAGAGATTCTTGCTGCTTATTTGGGATATTATTCGGCCAATAATGATTCAGCTTCACACTTGCGGGAGGATCTAAGGGTCTTTTTATGCTAGCATCTAAGATGATCTATGAACTAATGTCCCTGGTTGACATAACAGGTTTTCTATACTGATGATTTACGTTTTTCACATAAGTTTAGATACCTTTTGTTTGGAATTTACTGATCATCCCACATGTGGTAGCTCATTTGTGATGTATTAGTGCATGGACAATGTCTTCTGGTCTGGAGTTCTTTCTTAGATGTCTAATTTTCGGTCTCTTATAATATGTTTAATTAATACCTATGCATACTTTGATATTTGGTAATGTTCTACTGTGTGCATTTTGCACTTGTTTTTATGACTGTCCATCATCACAATTAAGGCTATATGGAAGTTTGTTTTTATATAAAAGCTTCTATATAGTGTTTTGTTATTTTCCGTACCCATTCACTTCAAATAGGGAGAGTGTGGACCTCTGCTGGAGTAACTCAATTTATACAACCACTGGTACGGTATGTAGGCATTTACACCTCTTCCCAATATAATAATGAAATCCATTAATCACTATATGAATGTATTTGTTTTTCCTATCTGTTATGTGCTCTGTTGAATCATAGAATTTTTCTTTTATACATGTTTTCCAATGTTTGCTTTTGTACATTCTCTGCTTTTTTATTCCTCCATATGTCCCAACATCATGGGAAGTACGCCATGGTTATTTGTGAGAATAATTTTATTGCAGAACCGTGTTAGAAATCCAGTAATGTCTGGAGGATACTCTCAGCAAGGTTATCAAGCACGACCTCCCTCAGGATGGGCTCCTTCTGGTCCCTCAATGCAACAACCTAGTTATGGATATGGACAGTCTGGAGGGTATTCTGCTCCACCACATCAGTATAATGCGTCTCAGCCTTCTTACCCAGGCTATCCTCCTCAACCAACATCTGGTGGCTATCCGTCCAGTTGGGACCAGTCAGCTGCTGCGCCAACCCAGCAGACTTCCCAGGGTGGTGGTTACGATTATTATGGCCAGCAACAACCTTCACATCAGCAGCAAAATCCTGGAGGTCCTGCTGCTCCTGCTGCTTCTGCTGATGGTGCTGGTTACAATTATGGCCCACCGCCAGTTTCAGGCTATAATCAACAAGGACAAGGATATACTCAAGATGGCTATGGTGGATATCATGCACCACCTCAATCTGGGTACGGTCAGCCACCGGCATATGATCAACAGCAGGGTTATTCTGCAGCAGGCTATGGTAATGTGAGTAACCCACCTCAAGATGGGCATACACCCTCTTATGGATCTCAGGGGGATTCAGCTCAGGTGCCTCCTGCTCAGCAAGGATACAATGCCGGTCAACAGCCTAGCCCTAACCCTGCTGGTTACCCACCCCAAGGTTCTACTCAGCCAGGTTATGGAGCACCCCCAACTTCTCAAACTGGTTATGGAAGCCAACCACCGGCTCAGCCTGCATATGGAGCTGGATATGGAGCACCACCAGCACAAAAGCCTCCTGCAAATCCTGCAGTTTATGGGCAAACTGCTCAGTCCCCCAGCACTCCAGGAGGCTATGGCCAGCCAGCACCTGTGCAGCCAGGATACCCGCATTCTCAGCCTCCAGCTTCTGGATATGCTCAGCCAGATCCTGTTACCCGTCCCCCTACATCTGGCTACGGTGCTGCAGCACCACAGACCGGATACGGGCCTCCATCCTATGGCGCACCACCAGCTGGCCAGCCAGGATATGGGCAGGTGCCACCACCCTACAACGCATCTTATGGTGCTGGATATGCACAACCTCCTCCCTACTCTGCTGATACCAGCACGAATGGGAACGCTCGTGGGACCTATGATGCTCCGCCACCTGCTTCACAGACTGCCCCCCCAAGTGGAGTTGCCAAAACTTCCCCTCAGAGTTGATGTGTTATGGCGTTTTGGGTAATTGGTGATGTTTCGTTGTATTTTCTGTAGTAGTAAGGCTAGTGAGGTTAGTATTTGGTGAACATTGTACTTATGTTTTCGGTATTTCGGATCTGTGAGGATTTGGTAATTGCAAGAACTTGTTGAATGTATTGATTTCTATGCAAATTTTCTCGTTTTATGTTTCTGTTAAGTCTCTTATTTGCTTATTGATGTTCTTACAAGGGAGATTTAAATACAAACGAGTCTCAACAAAAAATTGTGAAAATACAAGTCTAAATGAACCCAAAACCCTAAAAATATATTTATTTAGACGTGTAAACTCGTTTTTTATTTTCAAGAACTATTTTGATTGACCTAATTTTAAGGGATGATCCGAACTTGAGTATAAATTAGTTTTGCAGATATTTATTGCGAGGAAGTTTATTTTCGTTGTACTGTAAACTTCTTAAAATTAAAGGAGAACATTACATTATATGCTTCAGTTGACAAATTGTGTTCGATTATATTTTCGGTGGCTAGTACTGGAATTAAAATTTGATTAAGCATACATATATTACTCAATAAATAATAAGACGGTGACTTGTAACATTTACTCTAGTACCGCGTATGTAAGTAAATCTTGAAAAACCTGATTTTGTGAAATTCTACAAATGACACATAAATGGGAAGAAAAAACACACGTAAATGGGTAAATTGCAACCATACCCTTATGATTCGGGCAGTCCGATTTCATCCTATATTATAATATAAGTGGCTTTAATGACGTGGAAATGTCGCATCAGACTTTTCTTGGTGGCTACTCCACTGCTGCACCCTAATGAAAACCCTAATTTCCTCTCCCCTCAGCTAAAAAACCAGAGCACTAAGGTATACAATCATTCTCTCTCTTTTTTTTTTTTTTTAATGAATTTTCAATTTAAATTCTAGGTTTAGTCCTTTTACATCGGATTTTGTTTTAAGTTTGGATTAATTTTCATTCGGATATGGTGATTTAATTTTGAGATGAGAGTCATGATGCATTTGAATAAGAACAATTATCTCTGCACCCAAGTTCAGAGTTTGATTCCCTCTTCCCGCACTATTGCATGAATATATCAAAAAATAAAGTTACCATTTTGTCGGGTTATTTGGATTTCAGGGACGAGTGATGGCATCGAAGGTGTTTCTTCAGTTGCAAGGCAAGGCAACTCAAGCTTCAAGGGTTGTGGCAGAGTACGGATCTTCCTATTACAAGCAGGTATTGGAGAAGAACAGGCATTACGTTCAGGAGCCTCCCACTGCTGAAAAATGCAGCCTTTTGTCCAAACACTTGTTCTATACCCGTATTGCTAGGTCAGCTGTTTAATAACTTTCAATTCTTGCAGACGAAAGTTAGGCCAGTTGGTTAGGGTAGTGTGATGTCAAAATATGATACATGCAGTATACCGGGGCGATATGAAACACTTCAGAAGGAGCTTGATTCGGTCAAGCAAATTTGGAAGAACAGGCAGGCGCTGAGGGTGGAGGATGCCGGAATAGCTGCCCTGTTCGGCTTAGAATGCTTCGCCTGGTTTTGTGCCGGTGAGATGATAGGTCGAGGATTCACATTCACAGGTTACCGTGTCTAGACGCTGCTGAGCTTGTGAACACGTGAAGTATTAATGTTCACATTCTCATCAGTTGATTTTGGTTTCCATACTTTAGCTTATTTTCATCAGATACGATGAAAATACAACTTGAAAAATTATTTTGATTTTCATATGTTAGCAACCTTTTTTTTGGATCAATCCAGGGCGATATCTAGGGTATCGCCCGCACATAGGCGAGGACTAATCCCTCGAGCTAGGTCGGACCCCATTCGGGAGGCAAGCTCTTCCAATGCTGGCTTCTCCATTCACAAGGTTCAAACTCGAGACCTTGCTTAAGATGAACAAGCTCCTTACCACTTGAACCACCAAGCATTGGTTATGTTAGCACCCTTTTTAGAACATACAATGCTCTGTACTTTTATTTTACATCTGAACTGGAAACCTGTATAATGGTTAACGAGGATGCCGGACTGTCGAGTTTGGGTACCGGCTACAAGGGAGAAATCGAAAGGAAACTGTCAGTCCGACCGGAGATGGACGTAAGAAACCAGAAGCAGATGATTATACTCAAAACAGTTATCGTAAACCAGCTTTACGTACAAATCATAACATCCAAAACGTACAAAGTAGAATCTAAGATATGCCTCACGAATCAAAGCATGTTCATCAAAACATTATCAAAAAAATTACATTTCGGAAGAATGGGCTAAATGCAAAACTTATCTCTTGGAAACTGCAAAGCTTGTTCCGTATAGAGTCGAGGATCAATTGGAAGCGAATGGGGGATTCTTTGTAGTGTTCTGACTCTTAATCTACTTTCTGTGTACGTGAAAGCTTAATACCTTCCTTAAATCAGGTGGTTCCTGAACGCCATGATCATTTTCGGGGAGAAGAACAAAACAAATGCCAAAAAGGAACCAAAGAATATCTTGATAACGTATCTCAGGGGGTCGTGATCGACTACTTCTGAGGTAGTTTGTGGGGTTGACATGGCTGTTGCAAGTGGTAAGGCTTCTATTACTGCATCTGCCAGGTCTGTTATAAACGAAGGAGTACAACCAAGGGCAGGGACTCGGCCCCAATTCTCAATGCCAGATTCGAGGGCCAATTCCCTGTACTCCATATCAATTTCTTCAAGAGTCTCTATGTGCTCGCTCACAAAGCTGGATAAAAAAAAAAAAATTAGATGTCAAATTAACTTACTATAATTCTGAGAGAGAAATAACCAAATAGTGCCCGGGGCCAGAAACAAAGTTAAGTACCTAACTGGAACAGCTAGGAGACTTTTCACGCCTTTCTGGCCAAGCTCAACAAGAACTTCATCAGTGTAGGGCTTTAGCCATTGCACAGGACCAACTCGGCTCTGATCAGCACCCGACCCCAAAATAAGGGAAAGAAAATCAGAAAACAACATAAAGTTGTTGCCATACGTGATAGACAACTGACGGTAGTTCTGAGAACCAAAAAAGGTAGAAAAGTAAAATGTAGGACTCAGAAAAAAGAGTTTTACAACCCACCTGGTAAGCAAGGGTATGTTCATTGTTAATTCCTCTAGAGTTCAGCTCTTTCATTATTAAGAAGATGCACTCCTCCATTTGATCTTTGTAAGGATCTCCGGCATCCTCCACATAACTCAGCGGTACTCCGTGGGCACTGAAGAATATCATGACCTGAATTTCATACAAAATTAGCAACGCTTACCTGAGCTGTGAATTTCATGGAATAACCGTACAATGAAAGCATACGTTCAATAACAAAATCTATAAACCAAAGAGAGTGAAATTTAATTTCATCAAAAGAGCCATTTCTGATGAATTTAAAACATATGTTCAATAGAAGCATCAAGCGCACCTCTGCAGGCTCAGAAAAACTTTCTAGCTCTTTGGAAATCAAGTCGGCCATTGACTTAAGATAGCCTTCACGTTGATACCACGAGTTTATAATAGAAACAGGCATCCTTGATAGGTACGAGTCTTTCCTGCAAGATGGGCACTCACATTCAGAAAATTGACCATTGTAAACAGACATAAGTAGTTTCATAAACTGACAGCGAACTATCACCTGAAAATATCCTGGAGCACAGAAACGCTTGATCCAGTTGTAGAGATAGAGAACTGAGGGTATAGAGGCAGGACAACAAGCCTGGTTATTCTGTCCTTCTTAATCTGTCATAGATAATGTGGAAAACTGATAGTCATTTAATCCATTCAATTAGAAGACGCCCCATGATGAGTAACTACAAATTCAATGACTAACCGATATAAACATTGGAGACTTTTAGGTTACAATCTATTGTCCCATATCCTTTACATTGCCTGGAACCAATGGCAAATATAAAAATATTACTAGGTTACTGAAATTTAAGACTCACTTGCTGAACTGCTTCCTCAGTAAATGGGTACCAATAACGCATTCCTACATATACATTAACACGCAAGTCCTTAGATTCCAGAGTCTTTTTGAGTTCATTTGCCTGTAACAAGCCACCTAAGTATGAGTAAATATAACAAAACGTACCTAACAAACCACCAAATATTCTCAAATGATACATTTTTGTAGAACATAATCAAATTTTTTTTTTTTTTTTTTTTTTTGGGTAAGGAAACAGGACAAGATTATACAAATAAAAACAAAAGAAGACATTTCAACAGGCATGTTATGTATATTGCTCTACCTGCTCATCTGTAATTTTACGCAATGGTGAACCACCTCCTATAGCAGCATAACCTTCTTTGCTTTTTGGGGCTCGAAGCACAGAAATTAATTTCGCCAATGGTTGCTGGAGAAACCGAAACAACCTTGGGAGGCGAATGATATCCTGTCTCACACAACACGTGAATATGTTAGTAATGAGTGCATTAAGTGAACAACTCATGCTGACACCAATAAGGCAAGGCACCAAGAGCAGATGAACATACCGGGTCGGCAAAAAGATTGAACAAAAACGGCTGAACATCATTAAGCGTCTCGGGTCCTCCAAGATTCAGAAGCAGCACTCCAACCTTCTCTTCCCCAGCATGGGAATGAGACTCTACAGCAGTCCCACCATAAGTGCATACACCCGCCGGACATAATACTTCTCCAACAGGGTTTTTCTTAGAATAATGTGATAATCCAAACATGTCATTTCCTTTATCACTCGCTGCAGAGCATGAAACTGTGAGCTGTTTCGAAATTTTCAATCCCTCGGATGAACGGCAAGAGGCAGATCCCGACCTACCACTAAAATTACATTTAGACGGTTAGTCAAAATCTCATCTTAGCTAGCTTAAATGAAAGTCTGAAACCAATAAACCAAAACTCAAACATAATTCGATTGCCATAATTCAGTTTTCCTGTTTGGCTGTCGTTAAAATGCTGAATTTCTGTTTGGTTGTCGTAAAAATGCAAACTTTTCTGTTTTGTTGTCGTAAAAATGCAAACATTTCTGTTTGGTTGCTGGGAAAATGCAATTTACACATATAGCCAAAATCTCAGCTTAGTCAAGCCAATAAACCAAAACCCAAACATAATTCGATTTCTGTTTGGTTGCAGGGAAAATGCGAACTTTCAATACAATGGAAACGGGATAGCCATACAATATAGAGCTCTCGCTCAAGATATTACTAGGATTTTCTCGCGCGATTAACTCTAAACACGAATCTAATTAAATAAAAGAGCCATTTACTGATCCACATTGCAAAACAAACCAGAAAAAAAATTATGATTTCGAGCGCTTACGCGGATAATCTACGATCTGAATGGGAGAGATTGATTTGGGGAAGAACGCGGGAGCATGTGGCGGCGTCCATGGCGGTCGACGGCGGAAAAAAAAAGAAACCCAAAACTTTTGTCGAATCGTTGAAGAAGCGTAACGTCTTCAGCGCTTCCTTTTAACGAAGTCGCCCGGCTCTAACCAACTCCACTACCTAACACACTCTCTCTCCTCTGAGATTTCTAATTTCCGTTGAGAATACGTGTCCGAAGAGTGCAACGTCCACGCGTACAAGTCCAACCAAAAAGGTATTGTCATAGGGTAGAATTATCTCTCATCCTAATTTTCATCTCCTTTCCTCTTTTTTATTTGAAAAATTACGGTTGAGTCACATTAATATTTTATATTCATTTATTAATAGATAGAAGAAGACAAAAAGTAATATGTCAGGAAAGGCAAGAAAGGAGATGGAAATAAGAGCTAAGAGAATCCTACTCCGACTACCTTTATTTACCAAAGGCCCAAGATCAAGTGATTCGGACCGTTGAAATTTGATCTAACTGCAACAAGAAGATCCCTCTAAAGTTATAATAATTATAACTGTTAGATCAAATTTCAACGGTCCTAATTACTTGATCCTGGACTTTTGATGGGAGAGATCCGGACCGGATGTCTTCCCATTTTTTTTGAGGTAGAGTCGATAGTCACGTGATAACACGTGCCGTAACGGTTGGGCTTGAGGATGGATCGAGGGTGGTTTGTGAATGCTTGTGTTAGACAATGAACCAAATTAAATGGGCTCGGCCCAATTGGACGAAAATCTCGCGGGCTTTTGAAGTGGGCTTCGACTTTGTAATACTCCGTACAGTTAGGGTTAGGTGGCCTCAACAGCTATAAATTAGTAGTTTCCTTGTTTTCTCATGCCATTCTACTACAATCTCTGCCTACTTCCACGAGTTCTATCTGAAACTCAAAGCTCCCTGCAATTTGGGTAATTAAATTTCATTTTTTATTTGATTTAATATTTATACCGTTTTAGTATCTGGGTTTTTGTTTGTGGGTTATGATGTGATCGGGGCTCCATATTCGAGTCAACAGCAGGCGCCCGATTGGTGGCGACCCGACTGCCGCTTGGAGCCGATAGTAGAAGTTCGTAGTGGGTGAAGATCCATGAAACCGAAATCCCAATTTGTTTCATGACACAATATCCACTGTACATTTTTCTAAATCTTTCTTCTTTTCTGCTTTTTTTTTTAATTAAAAAAATTAAAAAATTAGGTTGGATTTATGAAAAATATTAAAATTTGTGAATGAATAAATGAGGGCACTCCAGTCAGACACGGGTGTTTGTTGCTAAATCCAATAACAAGCGACCTTTTGCATGGTGCCTAGAAATAGCTACTGTCACGATTGGAGGAAAGATGTTTTTTTTTCCACGCTTTCCTTCAAATTTAAAGCAGCTAAATCTTCAAATTTTATGAATAATTTGTTGGGTTTTGTGTTTTAAATCTAAATCTTGATTCTTTGTTAGTAAAAACATTCTGAAGATTCAGAAGATTTTAGCTTTTGGTGTTGCATTTGATGCAATGTCGCTGAAAGATAGACCTCTAATTTGATTAATCGCTATATTTTAATGAATAATTGTTGTTTGACTTTCTTAATATATTATTTTGAAATTAAATAATTTTCTTGGGAAATTTAATATCCTGAATTATTTGAAATTGGGTAATTAATTTTTTACCGTCAAATTTAATGAAATTTTATTGTGTTAGTCATCGATTGATTCATTTACTAAAAAAAAATAGGGGGTGTGCTATCTACGCATATTTTTTGTTATTTGATTTTCTTCAATTCATCTGATCCGACTATCGAAAATTAATAGAATGTGTAAATAATAGTGTGTGGATGTCACATCCTAAAGAATTCTAATTCACCTAGGATAATAATCAGGTTGTCAAACTACAGGTTACTGATTTTAACGATGGAATTAGTCGATAAAAATGTTTACCCTTAAAACTGAATCACGTCCCGAGTATTTGAAATATATGGAATGGTAGATTAATTTGTTGGTCCTTGAAGGATTAATTTACCCAAAAAATAAAAAATAAAAAATAATGAAAAATGTTTGAAAATTTTGAATTTTAACTATAAAGACAAAGTAAAAGTAAAATGAATAGTATTAAGATTGATTTTTTTAGTGTAAAAATGTGATTTTTTATTAAAATGAAAAGTATCATAAGTTTTTCGTTAAAAGTTTCCAAAAAAGTAAAAAAATAAGGGGTGTGTAACACACACCGTTTACTTCTTATGCATTTTTGTTGATTTTTGTCATTTTGATTTTCTTCAATTCATTCGATTCGATGATCAAAAATTAGAATGATGTATAAAAGGTACAAAATGGTACGTGGATGTCACACCCCAAAAACAATTTAAGAAATCTATTTCAACTAGGATAATAATCAGGTTGTCAAACTACAGGTTACTGATTTTAACGATGGTATTGGTCGATAAAAATGTTCTGTCATGGTGAATTAACCAAAAAAAATGTCGATACGATTAGAAATCCTGTAAGTGAATAATAAGATTGAACGAGGATATAGTGAATGTGTTGGGAAGCTCTGTCCATACGAATCAACAGCAAGAACCGGTTTGATGGTGCATTGACTGCCGCTTGGAGCCGATGTGAAATTGCCAGTAGAAGATAGCTTCAAATGCTCTCTGCTTTCATGCTACAATTTTTGGCTACATTCTAAACTACTCTAGTATACGAAATCGATAATTCAAACTAGTATACAGGATGGGGGATGCGGACTCTGGTGCAATGGGACGGGAACACTGATAATGTTTAAATCCGGAGATTTAAGTGACTGGATTCGATGCCTTGTTCATTCATCTGTTTGCAACTGCTATTTCAGTGCCCTTACGCAGCTGTTTTTGTGTCGTTGCAGGTTGCGGATTTGAGTGGTGAATATTTGAAGGATTTGCTGCATATTTGTTTTTTGTGCTACAACTTTCTTGTATTTTAAAACAATGAATGGAATCAAAATTGAGTGTCAACTATGCACATTTTGAGCAAGTAGCTATTGTCATATATGTTCAGTTTGACGCTTGAAATTTCGAATCATTTGAACAAAGGGGTTTTCTAGTATGTACCAGTAAGTATACACCATTGTTCTAAAAATTCCCGCCTAGCGCCTAGGCGGCGTTAGGCAGCTAGTCACTGTCCCGATTAATCCCTAGGTGTTTCAAAATTAAGAAATGACGTTTAGACTGGCTAAGGAGTCCGCCTAGCGCGTCTAGGTGCCTGCCTAGACCCGTCTAGGCACATGCCTAGATCACGACTCAATACAATCATGTATCTTTTTTAAGTATAGCGTCTTTTAGAACCTTAGTATACGCTAGTAACCTTGATTGTTCTAAAGATCCTTAGCATTCTATTAGGATTCAACAATCAACACTCTACTTATTGGTGCATAGTATATACCAAACATTTTAAAATTTTCGCATTTTAATGCCGAATCAATTGCAAACATTTCAAGTCAGCCGAGTCACTAGATAGAAATAGAATCCACGAAATCTCCAATGCAGAATAGTTGCGGGATATGAGTGGCCGGTTAGTCCAGCTGTATGGTGCCAATCGACTCGACACTCGGTATCCTGCTACACCGTTATTCTAGAAAATCTCTGTGAGTGAAATTCAAGCAAAAAAAAACATCAGAGACTTGAGTCTGCTGCAGACAAAAGGGAAGTGCAGCTGCAGCAAAACATCCTCTTTCATTTCATTGGCACTAAAACTGAAGAACTCGTTATAGAAGGATACAAATTTATAAGATGAGGCTAACAGAACACGATCGCGATTCATTTAACCAGGTTTTGGTATACATTAAAACAAATGCCGAAAACTACACTCAGCCATCCTCGAATTGAAAAAGCAAATCTCTAAGACTAGAAAATCTCTAGGATTTTGCAGGCATCTCAAAAGCAACAAGAACAATCAAACGGACAAAGCGGGGTGTTTCCAGCATCTGCATTGTTAATTCCCAACTCATCTTCTGTATAAACAGCAAGACCATCCTGTGTTCTCTTTTTCGGCTGAGAAGACAGGTCCCCAAATCCGCCATCTCTAATCCCTTTATCCTTCTTCTTCGTCTTGAGCTTGTGCGGTTTTTCAGTCGAGTTTTCTTTTGGTTTTGTAGCCTTTCCAGTCCCGGTTTTCTTCTTTTTCGCTGCAAATATATCATCAATCTCAGAAGCAGGCTTCTTCGCGGAAGATGGAGACTTCTCGCCCTTCTCAGTTTCGGGTTTCTTCCTCTTTTTTGCAGATGTTTCATCAACCTCAGAAGTAGGCTTTTTCACCGAACATGGCAGCTTTTCCTCTTCTACAAGTGTATCATCTTTCACCTCTCTGGGAGCTTTTGATTTACTCTTTTTTCCCATCTTTTCAGATCCCAATTCCCAAACCTGCATCACATCCATATCATATTGCTGAGAATTGAAACAAAAAACAGAAATCTAAAAAGAAAACATGAGATGTAAAGTTTCAAAAATCAGATGACTCAACAATTGGAAAACCCAGAAAGCAATCAAAACAGAAAAACGAATGAAGTTGAAACCTCCTTTCTGGGAAATCTGTTCCTCAACTTTCCCAGCAGCCAAACAGAAAATACTGAGATGTTTAGGGTTTCGATTATCAAAGAGCTCAATATCTTTAACAAAGCATCAATTTTTGAGAATTCGACAACTCGTTCAAAGCAATCGAGGATTTTGGGAACGAAAGCAATCGAAGCGACGGAAGCAGATATATAATAGTAAAGGTAGATGCACCGAGAAAAAAATTGGAGCTGAGAAGAGCTAACCTTTAGGTTGCGAAGAAACGGTGAGAGAGAGTGAGTCGCAGAAAACCCTAGCTCGATGCGTTTGCAGGGAAGCCCTGAGACTAAACCCTAGGACTAGAAACGAGCTTTGTCAGAGAGAGCGGGACCAAAGTATAAAACTAGGACTATGTAAATTTCACTAATAACCCCTCTAGTTTACTATAATTTTCATTTTCGTCCTTGTAGTTGTTTAGTTGCATTTATGTCCCTGAACAATTAAACGAAGAAATTCCAACTTGTTTTTCAAATGGTTTGTCTGCGGTGGTTTGGCTTATCGAGTAGCCTGAAATTTTAAATATTTTTTATTGTTCGATTACTTACTATTAAGTCGTCTCAGATTATTGAAGAAAAATGATTTCAAATAAGGTGTGCACAAAATAGATGGAAAACTAATTTAACGGATTGAACTAAAGCGAAAACAAAGCAAAACTACAAAGATGAAAGGTAACAAAAAAACTACGAAGACGATAGAGTAACTACTATTAGTGCAATTTTGGGTTTTTATTGAACTATTTGTTATTAAATTAAGCTGTAACTCCCAAGATTGTGTTTTAAAACTAATTATGGGTTAATTTGTCAATGATAATCATCTTTACTGATAAGTTGCAGCCGAGATTTCTCATGTTCAATTTCGCAATGACAAGTTCGAAATCAAATTATTATGATAGAGCATTGTGTAGCTTAGCTCGAAAGATTTAAGAAAATTAAAAGGAAAGAGTCACAAGTAAAAAATGTGCACACTTAACTCCAAACAAAGTGTGACTTAAAACTGAAGCATATGATAGCATAAGCCTTAACAGAACCTCCATCTGGTTTCTTTCGAGTAACATTTCCCAACCATAAAGATGCCACAAATAAAAGAATTGTGACAACAATTCAGTACTTCCTTGTTTTTAAGGTATCAACATACAAACTACAGAGAGTATTTAATCCTTAAGAAACACCGCAGATCGCAGCTAGCGTTTGACTTGTTCATTCAATATGTGAGAGACCCCCACCTTCAGCCTTTGTCCTACAGACAAGAACAATCGACAAAAAATGAAACATATACATGCATCAGTTCACTTGACAGGACATGAAATTCTAGGGTTGGAGTTGTACTGATAAAGCGCCATGCCAAAGAAAATGCAATGTTCATGAAGCGAGATTTAATGACGCCTGCTATGTCTAATTAAAGGAGTCATCAACATTTTACGATTCCACAAGGATAACAAAGACTTACTTGTGATCGGAAGGATTTGGCCTGAGTTCGTAAACAATTGTTGCGACAACATCCCTCTTCAACTGTTCATCGTAGACAAGAAAAATGTATTATTTGCCGAAGTAGCACAACAAAATCTGCTCGTATGGAATGAAATTACCTTTGTAGCTTCGCCTTTAAAGCCAATGTACTCTATCTTAGTTGTATCACCACCAAAACTATCGGGAAAATGCAATGTGATGCTGGCCACGTTTTGAAATTTGGAATATCTGATTAAGTGCACATAAGTAGTATCAGAAGGATAGTAGATGGTTTAAACGGATTAGCTTCGGTGCTGTCAGTTTGAAAAGGAATAAGATTTCCCCTCAATTTTTACAGGTATCATGTTCTCAAACATTACAAAACATGATCTTTGTAGTACAGGAGGCTATAAATAAATACCTTGTCTGGTACTCCAACGTTCCTTGGAAATTTTCAACCAGATCCCACTCCTTAAAACAACAAGAACACATGTTTCAAAGCTGAAAAGTTGAACTTATCAATTAGCTTTCCAACAAGCTAGTACGAATGCAATACCTGAACAGCTTGCATTCCTTGAGCATCTGAAAAGTCAATGCCTTCTTTGTTGATGAACCTAATTCAAGCAATGCAGTTCTAATTTTAGTTTTTCCAAATATATGAAACGAGATGAAGTGAATATTGGACATCCATCAAAGGCTGTTTCAAATAAAGGAGTTTATTTGAGTAAAACGAATTATCACTTAAATCCTCATCATTCTAACTACACCAATATAAGAAGGCCTTGCCTTAGGTAGAAGATATAAACGGTCAAACTTACACCCTCATCTTGGAAGGACTTGTTCCGTCAACACCACCAACAACTGATATGCTCTTGATCTTTACATCTGATGTAAATCTATAAAAATATAAATGAGGAAAATATAACTCAGTTAGATGTATGTAACAACATCAGCGAATACTAGGTTCTAATAAAATCTCTGCAGAAACAAGCAATGACAAGTTAAAATAGAAATACATCCTCAAGATCATGACTTGTATCTCCTACGGATTTCACAGAAATGACAAAACATTCAAGAAACACGAAAGGGAGCTATGAGTGCACGACAAGAGGATAATTATAAAATGATGCACATATTAAGTTTCACGTTTTGGAAGAACCTGAAGATGCTACTGAGGTTAAGTCCCTTACTCAAACTCATACAGACCAGATTATGGAGAATCAGGCACATGCTACCATTGAAATTGAACGGAAAGATGGGTAAAACTACTGAACCACTGGATCTACCTGTCCCCATCCATTTCATGTTCATGCAGTCAATAACTCATGTTTAAAAGACAACATATAAAACAACAAAAAATGGGACACTCACGGAATGTAAACAAGTAACTCAGGATCACCCTCATTGCTCTCCAAGTGTCCCTGTAGCAGAAAGTAGGATCCAATGAGCCTTCTTACGCCTATAAATTCAAACATAAATTACCACCAAAATATATGGTAAACCTGAACTGAATCTCAATCAGTAACTTCCTAAACTTGTGCTACAATATTGTCATGACATATCAATCTCAGATTTCATTTATAAAAACTTATGAAGTTGGGATTAATACATTAACAATGACATCTACAAATAATGTTCACGAATCGCTCCATTGTTTCGCTCACAGGAAAGTGTTCAAAACACCTTCAGAAAAAGAAGATAAAACAAACAATCATATCCCTTACCCCACTAGAATTCAGTCTTTGCTCCCAAGCTTTGACAACCGACTTCACGCTTCCAGGAACCGCCTCATTCAAAGCAGTAACCTACAACAACACAATTTGAAATCCTTTCAAGGAGGGACCATGGTGCATACTGATGATTATAATCCAAACAGAATTCCGCTGAAAGTGGCATCATGTCAACCAGCAAACACAAGCACCAACGAAACACGCCATTTACAGAACAATTAAGTGTGAGAGTATTCCAAAGTATCAACAAACCCTCATCAGAAATCACCAAATACTCGTCACAAAGCCACCCATACAGAAATCGGAAAGCCCAACAAACCCCCATTTCATAATTTTCCACTACAAGCATGAAATCTATACACAACAAACGCAATGCTTGCTCAAAACGCTAGTAAGAGAAAGAATTTCAGCTCAACGGGTTAATCCGAGTCACTGATCTTTCAACTAAAAATTTCCATCTGGGTACTTTCAGATGAACCCAAAAAATATAAAATAGTAAGCAGATTGCAAACACACCCAAAAATCACACATATAGAGCAGCAGTTTGATAGCTCATACAGTTATAAAAAAAAACGCAGGAATAGTAAAATTAAGAGCGAGCAAAGGAGAAAGGCAGAGAATTTGGACTTTGGGCAGGTCGATATGCTCATAGAGAGTCCAACCGGACGAACAATCATGATCTTCGCAGCTGTGGTCGTGCAAGCAAGCCATCTCCGTTTTCCTCGATCACTGAACTTCTCACAAGAAATAAACGAAAGACGAAGGAAGAAGAAATAGAAGCAACCAGATATAGAAGCCGAGCCGAGCCGTCGCGTTTTTAAGACTAAATTACATTTTTAACCCTGTGGCGAATTTCATCTTCCCGTAGAAGTTATAGCTTCGTTCCAAGGAGCAGACTCCAGACCTTGAGGCGCCGGCGCAGGTCCTCGACGCAGGGGCGTCGAGACGAGCGAGTCGCTTTGGGGAGGAGTAACTCGTCAGTCAGTGAGTCGGTGCAATTCCGAGTCCAATTATATCGCGGACTCAGTTTCCTATTTGATTTGGGATTCTCGATTTCCTATTTGATTTGGGATTTTCAGTCTCCTATAAATTGTGATTTTCGTAACCCTAATCAGAAATCACACCTCTCATTCTTTCCTTTCGCCTGAGAATTTCTTCTCCCAAACTTAAGGTAAATTTTTCCACCCTTTTAGTTTCTAGAGAATAATGGCGAAGGACAACAATGGCTACAAGGACACCGATGACAAGCTGCCGCGGGCGAAAAGGGTTAAGAACAAAGCCCCAGCCCCTGTCCAAATCACCGCAGAGCAACTCCTCCGAGAGGCGCGTGAGGGTCAGGAGGGGGAAATCCGTCCTCCCCAACAGCAAATAAATGACGCTACCGAGCTTGCTGATTTTCGCCTCCGAATGCGCAAGGGATTCGAGGACCAAGTCCGGCGCCAAAAGCAGAATGCCCGCGTCTGGATCAAGTATGCTCGGTGGGAGGAGTCCCAGAAGGAATTGGACCGTGCACGCTCTGTTTGGGAGCGGCTGCTTGAGGTAGATTATCGAAACCACACCGTCTGGGTCGAGTATGCCGCGATGGAGATGAAGAATAAGATGATCAACCATGCGAGGAATGTGTGGGAGCGTGCTGTGCAACTCTTGCCGAGGGTGGATCAGCTCTGGTACAAATATATTCACATGGAGGAGATGATAGGGAATGTGGCTCGGGCTCGGGAAATATTTCGGAGGTGGATGGATTGGATGCCGGACCAGCAAGGCTGGATCGGATTCATCGAGTTTGAGCTTCGGTATAATGAAGTAGATCACGCGAGAGCAATTTTTGAGCAGTTCGTACAATGTCATCCAAAAGCTGACGCTTGGATTCGGTATGCCAAGTTTGAGATGAAGAATGGTGACCTTGCAAGGGTAAGGGATGTGTATCAGACGGCAGTGGATATGCTAGACAATGATGAGGGGGCCGAACAGTTGTTTCTGGCTTTTGCTGAATTTGAACAAGGGTGCAAAGAAATCGAGCGTGCAAGGAGTATTTATAAGTTAGGGCGCGATCGTATACCAAAAGGAATGGCTGCTGCTTTGTATAGGATGTTCGAGGAATTTGAGGAGCGTTATGGGGACAGACAAGGGATCGAGGATGCAGTTGTGAACAAGGCAAGGTTCAAGTACGAGCAGGAGGTTAGGAAGGATCCTTTGGATTACGATGCCTGGTTTGGTTATATAAGGCTAGAAGAAAATGCAGGGAACAAGGAGAAGATTAGACGAGTTTATGATCGAGCGATCGCCAATTTACCACCGGCTCAAGAAAAGCGGTATTGGCAGTGCTACATTTATCTATGGATCAACTATGCATTGTATGAGGAGATTGATGCTCGCGATGAGGACCGTGCACGCGCTGTCTATAGAATGTGCCTTGAACTGATTCCTCATAAGAAGTTTACATTTGCAAAAATGTGGATTCTCGCGGCCGAGTTTGAGATCCGACAACTGAAACTCGAGTCTGCACGTAAGATACTTGGTACTGCAATTGGAAAAGATTCTTCTGCGGAGGATGGGGACGATAAAGAAACATAGTACATTGTATGTTTCGGGTATCATGAGAATCGTTTGGAAGTGATTTTAATTTTAGACTTTTTTTTTATTAAAGCATTTATAAAAAAATACTTGAGTGTTTTTTAAAGTTTTTGTTAAGAGTATTGTTATTCATAGTTTCATACCATATTTTTATATCATATTTTTGTAAGTATCTGATTTGAACAGTCATAATATTTGAATTAATCAAATTTTTAAATTTAATTTATTATTTAATAAACGAATAATAAAAAAAAAGTATTAATTAAATAATAATAATATAATATAAAAATATACTATAAATAACATTACTCTTTTAATAAAAATATTTAAAAAAAAAACGTTTTCAATACTTGAAAATTTTTAAAAGGTACTTTTAAATCAAAAAGACCTGGAAGTGTTTTAAAATATATTTTTCGTGTAAATATTTTGAAATCAATCTTTGGTAAAATTAGAAAAAACATATCGACGGCGATATTTCTTGTAGAAAACATTTAAAATATTTTTAAAACGAAAAAAACATTTCTTTAAAAAGTGATTAACTCATTTTGGAAAGCTAACGTGTTTTTGCTTTTGGATTCATATCTTCCTAATGCATCAAGCAACGTATAAATTACAATCAACAACAATAATACAAGATTTTTTTATAGAAATTTACTAAATTCATAGCACATCGGCAAATGCGAATTGCAGCCTGTCGAATAGTATCTAAAAATGTACTAAATTCACCCAAAAATCTCTAAGCACACGCACACGGATTATCCACCACCACGTCATCGTCCCCACTCCGAAACGCCAGGTAACCAATCGCCAGACCCAAAACGATGGCCACGAACACTCCGCCGTTAAACGACATGATCGCCAGCATAATCATGTACCCGATCGCCGCGTTGACTCCGAAAAGCACGCTCTCCGCCAGCCTCCCCGCCGAGAACCTACCTCCGGCGCCGCCGAGCTTGGCACTGAGCAGCGGGGCCCGGATCGGCGCGTCGGACGAGGATTTCAGGGAAGATGAGGAGGCCGCGCGCTTGATGCGCACGCGCAGGTCCTCGAGGTACTGGTAGAAGGCAGGGACGAGAAGGCAGGCGAGCAGCGTGAGGGAGTAGCTCGTCCACGTGTCGGTTTTCCACGAGTCGAAGAGGAGCGTTACCTGCCGGCTCCAGTAGAAGGTCATGTGCATCATCTTCTTCGATTTCTAGAGAGAGAAAGTAGAAGCAGCGGATTTTTGGGGGAGTTTTGGAGAACAACACTCGCGAGAGACGGGTAACAAATTTAGAAAAATGAAAAGTTTGGTCCGTTTGGTGTGTAGTACTACTACATTGTTAATTGTTTGGTGCGAGATGTGCGTTGGGATGTACCCTTGGAGTTGTTATTATTTACGGTTTTGTCTCCATCGGTTTGTAGACGTCTTTTGATTCTGTATGATTAACAGTGTTTAGAGGGGCTGATTTGGAATTTAGAAAATATGGGGCCCCGCTAAGTATTTGGGCTTGATGGCAATTTTGTCCTAAGGAAAAAAAAACCCAAAATGCAGTACAAGGATCGAAGATGGTAAAGAAAGTAAACGAAGGCCCAACGTCGTTTCTTCCCTTTCTCTCCAAAAGCGAGAGCAACTTGTCTGAATCGGATTTATCACTATTATGACGTTTTAATGTTGTTTGTAATTTTTTTATATAACATTGAATTATTAGATCAGGAGGTCGCAAGATAGGAAATCAGCTTTATGCAAGTCGTCTTGTAAATGGCAAGTTTTGCTATTTTGATCTCTTCAAGTGCCTTTTTAATAAGATCAAATCTTTTCAAGTTGGATTGTGGTATTATGAATGTAGTCTCACTTGTTCCAATCCAATATATTAAATCAAAACTTCTACATCAAAGGAGACTAGGCCTATTAAGTCTTACAATTTTTTTTTTAGTACATAGATATTTTTACACTAAAGAGAGGGGGAGTTCGACTAAGCCACACAACGGGCAGCCTAATTTGGTATCGAATTCGCCATCTACGAGATTCGAACTTAAAACCTCTCACTTCCTATTAAGTCTTAGATTTTGATATGCAGGAATTACTAACCTAGGGTAGAGATCTACTTTGTATCTAATTGTCCAGAGCTCAAGGATCGGGCAATTTGGACTACTCAAAATTGAATCTGATGGTCCCTATTAACTCATTTCGCTAGCCCACCTCACAAATCAACGACTCTTATTTCTCTCTTTCACACAAACCAAAAGCACGGATTTCCTGTCCTTAGACTCGGAGCACTAAATTCTAGAGAGGAACCAACCTTATCTTCTTCTTGCTCTCTTTAGATGAAGCAAATGCAATTATTTAGGTGAATAGTAAATAAAAATTAGATAGTACAAACAAACAAAATTTGAATGATGACTTTCAGCGGATGGGCATCAAGAGTGAATTGCAACTTTGCTCGCTATTCTACAACAAATATTTCAATGTACTTAGTATACGAAACAAAACATCACATATTATTATATAATTGGAGTATCATGCCTCATGTTTCAAGCATGTTGAATTCTCTCATATTCAACAATCCATGAATTTCTGGATTGTCTAGGAATTTGAGTCACAATATACAATTGCTTTATGGGTTTTTTCTTTTTTTTTTTCTTTTTTCTTTTTCTTTTTTTTTTTTTTGTATAAAAAGTTGCTTGATGGTTGGAAAAACACTTGGACTTTATTTTCTAATAAATCATTGTATTTTGAACAAAGACACATAAAAAGCAATTGTAGAATACACACTTAATCAAGTACACCTAATTATCTGATATTTATATTTATATAACATTATTAATTTGATAAGAAGTGTGATATTCACACATTGTTAATTGTTTGGTACGAGATGTGCGTTGGGATGTACCCTTGGAGTTGTTATTATTTACGGTTTTGTTCTCCATCGGTTTCTAGACGTCTTTTGATTCTGTATGATTAACAGTGTTTAGAGGGGCTGATTTGGAATTTAGAAAATATGGGGCCCTGCTAAGTATTTGGGCTTGATGGCAATTTTGTCCTAAGGAAAAAAACCCAAAATGCAGTACAAGGATCGAAGATGGTAAAGAAAGTAAACGAAGGCCCAACGTAGTTTCTTCCCTTTCTCTCCAAAAGCGAGAGCAACTTGTCTGGATCGGATTTATCACTATTATGATGTTTTGATGTTGTTTGTAATTTTTTTACATAACATTGAATTATTAGATCAGGAGGTCGCAAGATAGGAAATCAGCTTTATGCAAGTCCTCTTGTAAATGGCAAGTTTTGCTATTTTGATCTCTTCAAGTGCCTTTTTAATAAGATCAAATCTTTTCAAGTTGGATTGTGGTATTATGAATGTAGTCTCACTTGTTCCAATCCAATATATTAAATCAAAACTTCTACATCAAAGGAGACTAGGCCTATTAAGTCTTACAATTTTTTTTTTAGTACATAAATATTTTTACACTAAAGAGAGGGGGAGTTCGACTAAGCCACACAACGGGCAGCCTAATTTGGTATCGAATTCGCCATCCACGAGATTCGAACTTAAAACCTCTCACTTCCTATTAAGTCTTAGATTTTGATATGCAGGAATTACTAACCTAGGGTAGAGATCCACTTTGTATCTAATTGTCCAGAGCTCAAGGATCGGGCAATTTGGACTACTCAAAATTGAATCTGATGGTCCCTATTAACTCATTTCGCTAGCCCACCTCACAAATCAACGACTCTTATTTCTCTCTTTCACACAAACCAAAAGCACGGATTTCCTGTCCTTAGACTCGGAGCACTAAATTCTAGAGAGGAACCAACCTTATCTTCTTCTTGCTCTCTTTAGATGAAGCAAATGCAATTATTTAGGTGAATAGTAAATAAAAATTAGATAGTACAAACAAACAAAATTTGAATGATGACTTTCAGCGGATGGGCATCAAGAGTGAATTGCAACTTTGCTCGCTATTCTACAACAAATTTTTCAATGTACTTAGTATATGAAACAAAACATCACATGTTATTATATAATTGGAGTATCACGCCTCATGTTTCAAGCATATTGAATTCTCTCATATTCAACAATCCATGAATTTCTGGATTGTCTAGGAATTTGAGTCACAATATACAATTGCTTTATGGGTTTTTTTCTTTTTTCTTTTTTTGTTTTTGTATAACAAGTTGCTCGATGGTTGGAAAAACACTTGGACTTTATTTTCTAATAAATCATTGTATTTTGAACAAAGACACATAAAAAGCAATTGTAGAATACACACTTAATCAAGTACACCTAATTATCTAATATTTATATTTATATAACATTACTAATTTGATAAGGAGTGTGATATTCACACACTCCTTTTTACTTCTCACACATCATTTTAATTTTCAATCGTCGGATTAGATGAATTGAAGAAGATCAAATGACAAAAATCAACAAGAGGTGTGTGAGAAGTAAAAAGTGATGTGTGGATCGCACACCCCATTTGATAAAGATACCACAACATATATATATATATATATATATACACACACATAAAGGAAAGAAAATACCCTTTCAAAGAAGATTAATAGATATGCCTAGCTTGCGAGTCACCAGTTGATTGTCATTGTTCATGTCCTTTGAAGATTATCTGAATTTTGAAAAAAGAAAAATAAGCAAATTAAACAAATACGATGATAGCATACATAAAAAAAGTGGTTGAAAAACTTCTTGCTCCACCTCTTTTCGATCCATATTTTACTATTCAAGACATCTAACCATTTCCTCCTTGTCTTCTTATTATACATGAAATCACCTAAAGCCTTTGCAGCGAGAGGTAAACCTTTGCATCTCTTCACAATTTCTTCACAATATCTTGACTGATATCTTCAAATGGCTTAGACTCATATACTTTTATATCATCAAACACCATATGATTGAAGATTGATAAACAATAATTTAAGTTTTGCGCTCGTCTCTCCTTGTTGGTAGACAATCCATGGCTATGAGCGATCGTCTTTCGTTCTCGTGGTGGTGTTCTGTCACATAGATTCCTTGGACTAGCTTACTAGCCCAATGACTTGATCTTCTCATCTTTTAGTAGGCTCTCTATAACCCATGGGAACAATAACTACATATTCTAATGGGTCTACAAGAATCTTATGTTAACATGATTGAAAACCAAACGAACTCAAATAAAATAACATGAAAAAAAAAGAAAAAAATCTAAAAGCAAAAATAATAAAAGAAAACTGAAGCACAAACAACTTCCTGCATGTCCTAACTTTTTGGTAATCTTTTGCTTCATGTTAAATTTTTGAGTGTCAAACATTGAATTAGATAAACCCAACCCTACCACTCACCCACCAGGCAACTCATGCAAGTGAACAAATGTAAATCAAACGACGTTGATAAAGGTGTCGTTTATGAAGTAACGAGAAGGCATGAGAACGCAGTGACGTGGACAGACAATTGGAATGTGAGACGGCGCGCAGACGATCCGATTGCCACCTCCGTCTCCCAACGGTGACCTCCCGCCAAGCCAAACTCACAGAAATATAAGAATAATCCGAAACCGAAAAACGCAGAAAAATAAAAAATCCGATATGATACAAACCGATTTAACCCGAATCTGAAAATGGAAGTCAAATTCAAAGACGAAAAGAAATTGGAGCAGTGATTGGAGGAGCTCCACAAGGACGTTTCCAAGAAGCAGAAGTTCGAGGACGCCGTCGCCGCTCTTACTTCGCTGCTCCGGGGCCACTACTCCTCCGCTTCTCCGTCGCTGCGGAAACTGTACTACGGCGTCGTTTGACGGGTTGCCACCGTGTTGAAGACACGGTAAACCTCCCTGTGTTTCTGGGCCGCCGGACTCGCCTTCTTTCAGCTCGCCCATTCCATCGTTTCAGACGCTTCCGAGAAGGCCCACTTGCTCGCTTGCATCGATGAGGCAAGACAGGTCGTTCATCAGGAAAACGATCCCCCGCAGCCGTCGTCTTCTCCGAATCAAGGTATGAAATATCTCCCTTTTCAGAAAATTATAGAAACCCCTTGTTCTTTGTTTGTTGATTTTGAATTTTTTTTTTTTTGGGTAATTATTTGGGAAATTTGTTTGAATTTTCGTGGAAAGTTGCAAAAACTTTAAATATTTTCTTTTATTGGAATTGAATTTTTGGTTTTTTAGGATATTTGTTTGAGTGGCATTTGACGGTGGATCGGGAGCCGCCGCAGCCGCAGTGGCTGGTGCAGTCGAATCTATTGACGGCGGCCATGGCGGCTGGGTCGTCTTCTGAGTTGGGTCCCAGAATCGAAGAGAACTCGGAAGGCGCAGTGAATCTGCTTCAGTCGCTCATTGACAACCTCGACAGCGTTTTGCCTCAGGGGATTTTGGATGACGCGATGGCGGTTCCGACGGTCCCGCCTGCGAGCAAACAGGTGGTGGCCAATCTTCCGGTGATCATGATCCCGGAGGAAGTGTTTAAGGAGCTCGGAGAGGACGCAGATTGCTGCATTTGTAAGGAAAACTTGGTTGTCAATGACAAAATGCAGGAGTCGCTCTGCAAGCACACTTTTCATCCTCTTTGCCTAAAGCCATGGCTGGTAATTCGAATTTTTCAACATTTGCTGTATTGCTAATGTATCTCATTGGTTGTGTTCAATTCGAATTTGAAGTGGCTGATTGAGTGGGGTTTTTGGGTTGTTTTGATTGTGGCAGGATGAGCACAATTCTTGTCCGATATGCTGGCATGAGCTGCAGACGGATGATCATGTGTACGAGAACTGGAAGGAGAGGGAGAATGAGGCCGAAGAAGACAGAAAAGGAGTTGCGAATGCGATTCGAGGTGGTGAATACATGTATGTTTAATGTTTAGATGATGACATTTGCTTCAACAATTGTCAAATTTGCAGCTTCATTAATAAATTCTTATTCAGTCCATCACATTAAGCATGTCTCTGAGTGTGTTTTGATGTGAGCCTGTTTTGAAGTGCTTTCAGAATTGCTAAAAGTGCGTTCGGACAACTAAAACTGTTATAAATGCATCTGTTGTTGTGAGCTATTTGTTGAGTTTCTTTGCTTGGAACTCAAGTACTGGCCTTTTTCATAAGACAAGGCCGAGGTGGTAGAGAGCTAACCATTTATTCCAGGTTCATGGCTTTTATTCCAGGTCGCCCAACTATACTATACCCCGAACTTCGTCTTAATAGTGGTTAATTCATTTATTTCGGAACATTTTTCTTTTGTTGGAAAGAAGTACGATATTCATTAGCGTTATGAGAGAATACGTACAAGAGAGGATGGGATGCACCACTGAAAGGGGACCTCAGTAAAAACTTTGTCAGTGATTTCAACCCAACCGAAGGAGAAAAGAACTCTACACACCACAATTACATAGTATGACTATCCTTTACAAGGAGATCTACAATCATGAAAGCTCCTCAAACCAAACTACATCCATGTGAAATGCAGTTAGCTTCCCTGTTCACATGATTGTGTTTGACCTGTTGAAATATGGCCATGAAGGATCATTAAGCGCAGGTCCGAGCAATGAGGAGTCAGCAGAGGAATGCTTTGAGGAATCACTTTCCAGTGCCTGCAAGTTCTCATGGCTTAGGTGAAGATGATCAAAATTTGTGGGGAAGATTCAGTAATGGTATGTTGATGGTCGACATCACGCTTTTAGGTTCTTCCGAATCCCTGAAACAATAGGTAAATTACCTATTCAGCAACATCTCTATGATATTGTCCTAAATTAATTTTTCCTAAGAAACAACCAAATAATGTATATTAAAGCCAAACAACAAACCTCATGAGAAACCTGAAGGTGACCTCAACTAACGCTCTTTAATTTGGCTCACTATTTTTTGCGAAAACTTGAGCAACTAAGATAAGAAAATTATGCGAAGTGGAAATTTGATATCGAATTTGGTACGTGCGTATGAACAGTTACTAAAAAGTGCTTCATAAATCAGTAAGATGATCGCATGATATGTTTCCTAGATGGTTTATTGATATCACTACTTTCACTCAGTCGTTCCGCAAAGAAATTAGAAATGAGTAGCTGAAGTTAAATAATCCTTGAAATATATAAAGGAAGACAATTACCTTTTAAAAGAAGATTAATATGTATGCCTAGCTCGCAAATCACCAGTTGATCCACATTACTCGTATCTTTTGAAGAAGAAAAATAAGAAAATTAAACAAATTAAACAAATATGATGATAGCATACATACATGTGTAAATAAGATAGATAGAGCTCAATTACCTCTATTTTGAGATTTTGATGTTTGGGATGTGAGAAATCTTGGGCCACTCCTCTCCACTGTCTTGTTTACAGCGCTCTGAAAGCATGGGACACCCCCTGATGACAAGATCCTGCAGGGGTGTTTTGCAGAGGAAGTCTGGCACTGTTTTTATGCCTCTACAGAAATTAATTTGTAAAGAGGAAAGGCATGGCATGATTGAAATTTCAGAATCCTCTTTGTTCCACCCTTCCACGCCTACTTCCCACTCCTCCAACCCTGACATGTTACTAATTTCAAGTTGTTTCAACTCTGGAAAAAATGAGGTGGATGATGATGATGTCAATGACGTTTCATCTGAGTCAACTATTCCCAAAAATTCACCACCAATCTTTTCCACCTTCTTCATACGCACCAGAGTCAGCTTTTCAAGGTAGGGCAATTTCCCAAGAGGAGGCAAAAACTTGCATTCACTCCATCCATATAGATAGATGATTCTTAAGTTGTGCAAAGACATCATCCAATTGGGGCAGGTGGTGCCTGAATGATAAGAAATATCTAAGGATTCCAGATTCTCGTGCGGTCGTAAGGCATTTAGTATTTCTATTGTGCTCTTTGTCTGCTTGTAAAAGACATCCTCAAAAGTAATTCTGAGATGAAAGAGTTTCTTCATGTGCCACAACTGTGCCTTCTCAAGCTCCCTCTCGTCGTTCACATTCCCCTTCAAATTTATGGTGAGACTGCCCTCAAGGTTCAAGACTCTCAGATCTCCCACTTGTAATGCTGCTCTGTCTTCATCCTCACCACAAACCACAACACACTCATCAATTCTTTTCAATTTTTTTAATCTGAGAATTCCTTTTGGCAAGTACTCCAGCTTATCACAGACCCCAACATACAGGTGCTTTAAGCTAATCAACTTTCCCATGTTATCAGGTAGTTTTTCAAGTGACCAGCAATCATGGAGATTCAAGATATACAAATTGTACAACTCACAGATACTGTCCGGCAATATCTTCAAACCATAATTCTCTGACAAATCAACATGCCTCAAATGTATCAATTCACCAATTTCCTTTGGGACTTCACTTAAGCCACAGTGACTCAAATTTAATGTCCTAAGACATTTCAGTTGTAGAATAAAATTTGAGTCTATCTTACCAGAGAATGAACCAAACCATGAGAGCGAACGTAGATTTTTGAAATTGTCATATGCATTAGAAGGTAGAAGTGGCAGTGACTCACCACTTTGCAACCAAAAGGTTAAGGTCAAATGACGAACCTTTTCACCCAAACCCTTTACTACACTGTCAAAATCCGCATCAGTGATCAAACATTCATCCTTGGTGAGAGATTGCACAAAGTCATGAACAATATCATGCATTTTGCAACCTGTAATTTTACCACTAACACTGTCTTTCTCCAAATCTTGAAAAAAAGACCGTGCTACTAAGTTATCAAAAATTCGTTGACCAACTTCTCCCTCATCTTTATTCGCCTTTGAATTAAGATAATCTTGTGCCATCCAAAGATTAATCAACTCATCCCTCTTAAACTCATGATCTTTAGGAAAAGAAGCACAATACAAAAGGCAACTTTTGACTGCTGGGGCCAAATCATAATAACTTAGAAAAAGTGATTGAAAAACTTCTTCCTCCACCTCTTCTTGATCCCATATCTTACTATTCAAGACATCTAACCATTCCCTCCGTGTTTTCTTATTACGCATGAGACTACCTAAAGCTTTTGCAGCGAGAGGTAAGCCCTTGCATTTCTTCACAATATTCTTACTAATATCTTCAAACGCCTTGGACTCTTCTACTTTTGTATCATGAAACGCCATGTGATTGAAGATTGATAAACAATATTTTTCACTCAACTTTTCCATATCGATCTTGTCCCTTGCTCTCATCACATCAACAACATCGTGTTCTCTTGTGGTCACCAATATTCTACTACCATGAGCAACACTTTGAATTAATGATGCCCTTAAGTTTTCCCACTTTTTACGATCGTGGATCCACACATCATCTAGGACAAGGAGAAACCTTTTGTCCTTGATGGATGTTGACATGCGTTGCAAGACATGATCCAACTCATCCGAGCTTGAAGCATCGTCACCGCTTATAGCTTTGGCAATCTTAAACTCATCAAAAGGATCTGAGACACAAACCCACACTTTCTTCTCAAAATAGGCTTCTACATTTTTATCATTATAAACAAGTTGGGCTAGAGTTGTTTTTCCCATTCCTCCCATCCCTATAACAGGGATGGTAAGAAGCCGACTCCGATCTTCTCTCCGATCTTCTCTACCATTACTCAACAACTTTGTTATCAGATTGTCTTTCTCCTTTTCTCGACCAAATACCTCTGACAAGACGACAAAAGACGAAGTCTTCTGCCGTTCAGGTAATTCTTGAATGCCTCTTGCTGTGAGTTGAAACCCATACCTTCTTCTTTCCTCATCAATCACACTTAACTTATCGTTCAAATCTTTTATCTTACTCGCAATCTCATGGCGAAAAATCACCTCTTTGGCTTTGCCAAAACAAAAGCAGCTAGGGGAGACAGAGAAAGTTACCTTCTTCTTCTTCTTCTCGGGAACAGGAGCATTTTCACCTTCTCGTTCTTGCTTCTCAACCTGTTGTCTCAGCATGTCAGTGTTCCACTCGTCCAGCACGTCCACCATCTGCAAGGATATGTCTTTGAGCTGATCCAACCAGTTCCTCACGCTGGCGTCCTTGACTTGCCTTTGCTCTGCATCTTCCAGAACGGCTTGAATAGCTCTGAGATTGCCAGCAAATTCTTCAACATCTTCCTTGGCGTTCAAAACAAGTTTCACCTCTCCGTCAACGTACTCGTAAACTGTTGAAACCAGCCGATCCAGTACCATGGAAATGATTCCGTCAGCCATTTTTTCGGCGTCCGCAATCTGTTGACACTAAGTGGAAAAAGAATGAAGAAGAAATGCAGAATGGTTTGTTGCCCCTCTTCTGTCCAGCTCATACGACTATTCCAAGTCAATCAAGTCAATTAATAAAGTGCAGTGAGTGGTTGGTGTGCTGTCATTACTCTGTGGAGGCCAGCTCCATCTCACTCCGCATAAATAAAGTAATCATGTGAAAGTTTACAACAAAAAAAAAAAAGTAAAAAAGTAATCATGTGAAAGTTTACCCAAAAAAAAAAAAAAGTAATCATGTGAAAAAAAAAAGGAAAAAAAAATCATCAAGCCTTCGTTACCCTACTATTTATAAACGACAAGCGTTCAATTATTACTTGGTAATTTGTATTCAAACACGTGCTCTGTAATTTGGGCATCAAAAGAGGATTTATGTTCATCGTATATTGTTTGATCAGTTTTCATTATTTATTATTTTTGTTTAATTTTAAGTTAAAAATTAAAATAATTTTTAACCTGTACGATATATAATAAATAACTAAAATATGAAAATCTTTAAGATTTTTACAATTTAAATCTGAATAGAGATTCAAATCCCTGTTTTTGAAGTTTACGTCGGCACCGCTTGCAACCATTTGTTTATTAATCATATGCATCGTTTCCGATAGAAAAAACAACAGCTCTGTTTTTACCTTTTATTTTTTTATGTGTAAATTTTCAGCTGGAGCTTGCTTGGTATTGTAAATGGTCTTTAATCGTTGGTTGGATTGTGCAACTTTTCTCGTGTGTATTCAGTAGTATGAAAATCTTTTAAATAAAAAAACAAAAATTATAACATCATATAAATTTATACACTATTTTAAAATTAAAATTTAAATGGTAATGCACTGTCATATTTTGTGGAGGCCAACACCAACTCACATCACAGAAATGAAGTAATTGTGTATAAAAAGAGAAAAATATCATGTCTTGGTTGACCCTACCTTTTATAAAAGACAAGTATTCAATTATTATTTGGTAATTTGTAAAATATAGTTCTGTTTTTACTTTTTACCTTAATCATGGTAAATCCATTGTTATGTAAATTTTCATCTGGAGCATTTACCAAACTATGTTTTATGAATTGCATTTGAACTGATACACTTGATGCGTGAGGGATTGAATAACTGGAATATACTCGGGGACAACCAAGAATCTCTCTATATTCATTGTTAAAGTAGAAAACGTGGAACTATACATTAGACTATGAGAAATCGTTTCAACACAATCTTTTTCAACACGTTCTAAACTCTTATTCTGATTGTTCGATCTATTTTGGTCATATCGTGATCACGTAAACTACCTTGCTTAAATAACAACTATCGCGCATTATTCACTCCACTTACTACTTATCGTTCTCCTTGATACAAAGAAAATATGCAATTGATATACTTAAAGACCAGGGTTTCTTGGTTGCAAGGCCTGTGGAGTTTCCGATGGAAGAAATTAAACTTTTTTTATAAAGAGGAGCTACTCAAGGATCCTGCCAAATACTGACGTTTGGTTGGACAACTAATCTATCTTACCATCAAATGTATGGACATCACATATTCCGTACGTGTACTTAGTCGGTTTATGCATGAAACGCAGCAGCCCCAAATGGATGCCGCTCTTCGAGTTGCTTGATATCTTAAATCTACTCCTGCCAAGGTTTGTTCTTTCCATCAAACAACAAATTAAATCTAGTTGCTTATTGTGATTCTGATTGGGCTGATTGTGGTTGTCTAATGACTTGTTGTTCAACTACTAGATAGTGTGTGTTCTATTTTATATTGTGATAATCAGTCAACCTTACATATACGGGTAAATTCAATTTTTCATAAGAGAACTCGGCACATTGAGATGTATTATCATTTCATCACGAACAAGATAATTAATGGCACAAAAACTCCATGATATGAGAATTCTTCTCAGATTAGCTGATGTTTTTACGAAACCATTAGGCAAGAAAATATTCTTAATGATGTTACGCAAGTTGGGAGTTCTTGACATTTGCTCTCCAACTTAAGACGTGTTAGAAAGTCATTGATGATTAGATAAGAAACTTACATATTATTGATTCTGTATGATAATTGCTAGATCCACAATGACGTACTATTTTTCTACTCACATTTTAATTTAGATCAAAATAAAATCCAAATCCCTGTTTTTTGAAGCTTATGTCGGTACCGCTTGTAACCATTTGTTTATTAATCATATGCATCGTTTCTGATAAATGGTGGTGCGCTGTCGTATTTCGTGAAGGCCAACTGCAACTCACATCACAAAAATAAAATAATTCGGTGTGAAAAGGAGAAAAGTTGGTGTGCTGTCATATTAAAGTAAAGTAAAGTTAGTGGTTGATGTGCTGTCATATTATTCCAAGTCAATCAAGTCAATTAAAGTAAAGTTAGTGGTCGGTGTGCTGTCATATTCTGTGGAGGCCAACTCCAACTCACACCGCATAAATAAAGTGATCATGTGAAAAGGAAAAGGAAAAAAATCATCTAGCTTTCATTACCATACCATTTATAAACGACAAGCGTTCAACTATTACTTGGTAATTTGCATTCAAACACTAGCTCTGTTTTTGGGAAGAGGATTCCCTTCTTTGTAGAGGTATAAGGAATTTTCACATTATAATTATCATTGTAAATTATACGGTCAGTTTTCGTTAATTATTATTTTTATTTAATTTCAACTTAAAAAATTTAAAATAATTTTTGATTCCATAATATATAATAAACAGATAAAATATGAGGATCTCTAAGATCCCCATCCAAATCTCTGTTTTTAAAGTTCATGTCGGCACCGCTTGTAAACATTTGTTCATTAATCATATGCATCATTTCCGATAGAAAGAACACTAGATCTGGTTTTACGTTTTTTTTTTTTTTTTTTTTTTTGTAAATTTTAAAGGTCAAGTCGAGTATAGAGCTATGGCCGGTACTTCTTGTGTACTCGGCTACATTTTATTTTGGAAGGTTAACAACTGCCGCATTCTGGAGCATCTCTTTTATATTGTGATAATTAGGCAGCTTTATATATAGAGGTGAATCTAGTTTTTTATAAGAAAACTTAGCACATTGAGATGTATTCTCATTTCATCATGGACAAGATAGTTGATGGTACAAAAATTCCATGACATGTGAATTCTTCTCAAATTAGACGATGTTTTTATGAAACCATTGGGCAAGAAAATGTTCTCGATGATGTTACGCAAGTTGGGAGTTATTGACATCCACTCTCCAACTTGAGGGGGTTGTTAGAAAGTCAGGGTGATTAGATAGGAAACTTATACATGAGTGATTATGTATGAGAGTTGCTAGACCCACCATGATGTCCTATTTTTGTCACTCACACTATAATTCCACCCACCATAAAGAGTTCAAAAAATTGAAATGTTATTTCTCTACCCACTATTATTCCTAAAATAACCTCTAATATATATCTAAAGTTATAAACCTATCCTCTTAGAAAATAGAATACAAACAATTATATACAAAACTAAGATCAAGGACATAATCGTTATAAAACTTCATCTGCTTCATCTAACATAAGAAAAATACATAACTGTTTCATATTAAGTTCGTCATTATATATCTTTTAAGATCATTATCGATCATTTTATAAACGGGCAAACTTGTAATTAATAAATACATTAAAACATGGGTGAGAATATAAGACACTGAGATAGAAATAACAACACTTTTTTGTATTTACATTGTATCCCTAGAATTTTGGTTTTCCCATTGTACAAGGAATCTGATACGTATATACGTACACAATTCAATGGAAATATGCATTCAAGACAAACATAATTCTCGACTGTGCCTGGCTAAATTTTGAGGATATTATTGGATCGCTGGCATCTCTTGACAGTGTTTTGCCGCTAGGGGTGTTGGATGCAAGATCCCACACAACCTCCCTTGAAAGTGATTGAGAAAGTGTTGTTAATTTAAAGGTTTCTTGGTCAAGCCATGAGTAAGCTCTGCAAAATTACAGATTTTGCCATGAGCTCCCAATTGGATACTTGAGCTTTAGTCCTCTCGAAATTACAGATTTTGCCATGGCTCTGCAAAATTCGCTGAGTAAGCCTCTTTCAGTGTGGAAGAGAGCATCTTCGCCGCCCATTCTTGCCACGTCAGAAGCACCTTCAAACCTTTGGGCTGTTCACTGTTCATTTATGGTAAAAATAAATACCCAACAGCAAAACATGAATTAAGTGAGATGTTGGGCCTTGGTTAGGCCCAACTGCTTAATTTTGGGTCCAAACAGGGAGTTTTGGATGACGTGAGGCGGCTCCGAGGGTTCTGCCGGCATGCAAACTGGTGGCGGCGAATCTTGCCGTGATCACGATCACGGAGGAGGTGTTGAAAAAGCTCGGCGTGGACGCTTATCGCTGCATTTGTAAGGAAAACTTGTTTGTGAATGAAAAAAAAAAATGCAGGAGTTACCCTGCAAGCACACTTTTCACCCTCCTTGCATTGTATTCAAATATTTGAACATTTGTTATATTGTTAATGTATCTCATTGGTTGCGTTCAATTCGTTTTCGACGGACTGACTGACTGGGGTTTTTGGGTTGTTTTGAGTGTAGCAGGATGAGCGCAATTTTTGTCCGATACGCCGGCATGAGTCGCAGACGGATGATCATGCATACGAGAGCTGGAAGGAGGCCGAAGAAGATAGAAAAGGGGCTTCGAATGCGATTCGAGGGGGTGAATACATATATGTTTAATGTTTAAAGGATGATATTTGGTTCAACAGTTTGTCAAATTTGCAGCTTCGTCCATAAATTCATATTCATTCCATCGCATTAAGCATGGCCGTGATTGTGTGCTCTGTTTCTCTGGTAAGGTATGTTGTGATTCAGACAAATAATACAGCAAATTTGGTTTCTCTGGTAAGGTAGTTATTTCTACTTTCGATTTTAAACTCAGTACAAATATTGGAATTGTACGTTTTTATATATCTATTTTTATCGTCGTCTTATTATATGTATATATATTTTTGACTTTATGTTACTACATAATAATTTGTATTTTCAACTTTATATTTTGTACGAGTATTATACTATACAACCATATTAAGAAAGAAAGAAAAAAAGTATGAGCTTGGCACCAACTAAGAGGAATCATTGCAATCCTATCGCGACGGAATGACATTCTTTTTTATACAACCACTCCAACTTAATTTCTTCCTTATATATATATATATATATATATATATGTATGTTTTCTCCCTATTTTCGAGGATGCAAGTTATTTCAAATTTCGGAGATAAAATTTTATTAAGGAGGTAAATTGTAACGACCCATCCTTAATTTTACGTTTTTATCTATAATTTTAAAGTGTGAATTTATGAAAATGCCCTTCGAGGTAAAAACTTTTGTTGACCACCGTGTCATATCGCGTGAGAGTATCCTTGTAGGACTCGTCGCTACGAATGTGAGATTTAGCCCTTGGCGTATCCTTGTAGCACACCAACACCCTTTTTCCCCAGTGAAATCTAGTTTATGAACTTGCCATCGGCCGAAAACAACTCGAACTTGCCGTCGGGCCGAAAACAACTCGACAAGCCCGAATTGCTGTGGAATTCATACAATGACTTGAACTAGCAGAGAGAGAGTGAGAGAGAGCCAGAAATCTGTACGGGCGACTCTTAGAACGGACCCAACACGTTAAAGTCTGGATCGGTTGCGCAGCATTCAAGGCATCGGCTATGGTGGCAGGAGACGGAATGCGCTCAGAAGATGTTGTTGAGCAAAAGGAACAATGCATTCAGCGCGCCAGAAGGGTTTTCGAGAGAGCGTCGGACGATTTTAGAACATCAGCGAATACTAGGTTCTAATAAAATCTCTGCAGAAACAAGCAATGAAAAGTAATAAATCCTCAACATCATGACTTGTATCTCCTACGGATTTCACAGGAACGACAAGCCATTCAAGAAACACGAAAGAAGCTATGAGTGCAAGAAAAAAGGATAATCATAAAATGATGCACATATTATGTGCCATGTTTTGGAAGAACCTGAAGATGCTACTGAGGTTAAGTCCCTTGCTCAAACTCATACAGACCAGATTATGGAGAATCAGGCACATGTTACCATTGACATCGAACGGAAGGATGGAAAATGGGTGAAACTACTGAAACACTGCATCTACCGGTCCCCGTCCATTTCATTTCATGCAGTCAGTAGCTCACGTTATAAAGACAAGCTCCAATGAAACACGCCATTTACAGAACAATTAAGTGTGAAAGTATTCCAAAGTATCAACAAACCCACATCAGAAATCACCAAATACTCCTCGCATTGCCAACCACACCCAAAAAAACCCAACAAACCCATTTCATAACGTTCCACTAAAATCAAGAAATCCATACACATCAAACACAATGCTTACCCAAAACGCTTAGCAAGATATAGAATTTTAGCTCAACGGGTTAATCCGACTCGCTGATCTTTCAACTAAAAATTTCCATCTGGGTACTTTCAGACGAACCCAAAATACCATCCAAAAAATTACATATATAGAGCAGCAGTGTGATAGCTCACGAGAAAAATAAAAAACGCAAGAATAGTAAAATTAAGAGCAATTAAAGGAGAAAGGCAGAGAATTTGGACCTTGGGGAGGTCGATATGCTCGTAAAGAGTCCAACCGGACGAACAATCATGATCCTCGCAGCTGTGGTCGTGCAGGCAAGCCATCTCTCTTTCCCTCTGTTACTGAATTTCGCACAAGAAAATTACGAAAGACGAAGGAAGAAGAAATAGCCAGAAATAAGAGCTGAGCCGAGCCGTCGCGTTTTTAAGAGTAAATTACATTTTTAACCCTGTAGCGAATTTCATCTTTTTTTTGTTCCTTACTAAATGAGTAAATTGTAATAATAACCCTTCAACTTTAATCAAATTAGAACAATAATCCATCAACTAAAAATTCATTATCATTGGTTCCTCAAGTCATTAAAATGTGTAGATCTGGTCATTTTTGTCAACTTCGTTAGAATTTTAATCGACGCTCCTTAATTTGGCTCACATATGCTCAGTCTCTCATATGTTATGCGAAAACTTGAGCAGCTAAGATTAACAAATCTCTGCGTCGTGGGAATTTGATATCAAATTTGTACATACGGCTGCATAATTACCTAATCGCGTGTCATAAATCAGTTACATGAAATGCACGATAAAAATATCACAACTATTCACTCAGTCGTCTTGCTGAGAAATTAGAATTGAGTGGTTAAAGTTAAATAATCATTTCTAATTTGATAGGGAACTATTATTGACATTCCAAAAATATCATTATACACTCCTTCACAAGTGTATTTTTCTTTCTAAATATAGAAAGTTTGGAGTGCAAATGAAAATTTTGGTGTCAATACCAATTCTCATTTGATAAATATATATATATATATATGAAAAGGAAAGAAAATACCTTTTCAAAGAAGATTAATAGGTATGCCTAGCTGGAGAGTCACCACTTGATCGACATTGTTTATGTCCTTTGAAGATTATCTGAATTAAGAAAAAAAAAAAGCAAATTAAACAAATATGGTGATGATAGCATACATAAATGTGTAAATAAGATAGACAAAGCTCAATTACCTTAAGGATAAAAGATTTTGATGTTTGGGATGTGAGAAATTTTGTGCCACTCTTCTCCACTACCATGTTTACAGCGCTCTGAAAGCATGGGACAACCCTCAGTGATAAGATCCTGCAGGGGTGTCTGCAGAGGAAGTCTGGCAATGTTTGTATGTAATCGCAATTACTAATTTCTAAAAAGGAAAGACATGACATGATTGAAATTTCAGAACCCTTTTTGTTCCACCCTTCCACGCCTACTTCCCACTCTTTCAATGCGTCCATGTGACTAATATTGAGTTGTTTCAACTTTGGAAAAAATGAGGATGATGATGATTTCAATGATGTTTCACCTTCGTCAACTAATCCCAAAAATTCACCGCCAATCTTTTCCAAATTCTCCATATTCCATAGAGTCAGCTTTTCAAGGTAGGGCAATTTCCCAATAGGAGGCAAAAACTTGCACTCACTCCAGTTATATAGACTAATGATTCTTAAGTTGTGCAAAGACATCATCCAATTGGGGCAGGTGGTGCCTAAATGATAAGAAATGTTTAAGGATTCCAGATTTTTGTGCGGTCGGAAAGCATTTAGTATTTCTATTGTGCTTTTTGTCCGCTTGTAAAAGACATACTCAGAATTAATTCCAAGATGAAATAATTGATTCAAGTCCCACAACTGTGCCTCCTCAAGCTCCATCTCATCTTTCACATTCCCTTTCAGTTTTATGGTGAGACTGCCCTCAAGGTCCAAGACTCTCATATCTCCCACTTGTAATGCTGCTCTGTCCTTATCGTCACCACAAACCACAACACTCTCATCAATTCTTTTTAATTTTTTTAATCCCCGAATCCTTTTTGGCAAGTACTTCAGCCAATTACAGCCATAAACATAAAGGTACTTTAAGCTAATTAACTTTCCCATGTTACCAGGTAGTTTTTCAAGTGACCTGCAATAACAAAGGCGCAAGGTATACAAATTGTACAACTCACATGTACTGTCCGACAGTATCTTCAAACCATCATTCCATGATAAATCAATATGCCTCAAATGTATCAATTCACCAACTTCCTTTGGGACTTCACTTATGCCATTGCCACTCAAATTTAATGTCCTAAGACATTTCAGTTGTAGAATAAAATTTGAGTCTATTTTCGCAATAAAACCAGAATATGAGCGTGAGATTTTTGTGAGTGAACGTAGATTTTTGCAATTGTAATATGTATTAGAAGGTGGGAGTGGCTTACCAAGTTTTGACATTAAGGTTAAGGTCAAATGACGAACCCTTTCACCCAATGCCTCTATTTCATTGTCAACACCCTCAACATCGATGATCAAACATTCGTTCTTGGTGAGAGATTGCACAAAGTCATGAACGATATCATGCATTTTGCAACCTATAACTTTACCACTGACACTATCTTTATTCAAATCTTAAAAAAAAAGACCGTGCTACTAAGTTATCAAAAATTTCTCGACCAACTTCTCCCTCATCTTTATTTCCTTTTGAATTAAGATAATCTTGTGCCATCCAAAGATTAATCAACTCATCCCTCTCAAAATTATAATCTTTAGGAAAACTAGCACAATACAAAATGCAACATTTGATTGCTGGGCCAAATCATAATAACTTAGAAAAAGTGGTTGCAAAACTTCTTGCTCCATCTCTTCTCGATCCCATATTTTATTATTCAAAACATCTAGCCATTCCCTCCTTGTTTTCTTATTATACATGAGACCGCCTAAAGCCTTAGCAGCGAGAGGTAAACCCTTGCATTTCTTCACAAATATCTTTACTAATATCTTCAAACGCCTTGGACTCTTCTACTTTTGTATCAGCAAACGCCATGTAATTGAAGATTGATAAACATTATTCTTCACTCAACTCTCCTAAATTGATCACGTCACTGCTTGCTCTCATCGCATCAACAACATCGTGTTGTCTTATGGTCATCAATATTCTACTACCATGACCACCACTTTGAATTAGTGTTGCCCTTAATTTTTCCCACTTTTTACGATCGTGGATCCACACATTGTCTAGGACAAGGAGAAACCTTTTACCCTCGATGGTTGTTGACATGCGTTGCAAGACGCGTTCCAACTCATTTAAGCTTTGGGCATCATCACCGCTTATAGCTTTGGCAATCTTAATCTCATCAAAAGGATCTGAGACACAAACCCACACTCTCTTTTCAAAATAGGCCTTAACCTTGTCATCATTATAAACAAGTTGGGTTAGAGTTGTTTTTCCCATTCCTCCCATCCCTAGAATAGGGATGATAAGGAGCCCCCTCCGATCTTCTCCACCATCACTCAACAACTTTGTTAGCAGAATGTCTTTTACCTTTTCTCGACCAAATACCTCTGACATGACAACAAAAGATGAAGTCTTCTGCCGTTCAGGTAATTCTTGAATGCCTCTTTCTATGTGTTGAAACTCATACCTTTTTCTTTGCTCATCAATCACACTTAACTTATCGTTCAAATCTTTTATCTTACTCGCAATGTTACGGCGAAAAATCACCTCTTTGGCTTTGCGAAAACAAAAGCAGCTAGGGGAAAAAGAGAGAGTTACCTTCTTCTTTTTGTTAGAAACAACAGCATCTTCACCTTCTTGTTCTTGCTGCTCAACTTGTTGTCTCAGCATCTCAATGTTCCACTCGTCCAACACGCCGACCATTTGGAAGGATATGGCATTGAGCTGATCCAACCAGATTCTCACGCTGGCGTCCTTGACTTGCCTTTGCTCCGCGTCCTCTAGAACAGCTTGAATAGCTTTGAGATTGCCAGCAAATTCTTCAACATCTCTCTTGGAGTCCAAAACAAGTTTTACCTCTTTGTCAACGTACTCGTAAACTGTTGAAACCAGCCGATCCAATAGCATGGAGATGATCTCGTCAGCCATTTTTTCAGCGTTCGCAATCTATTGACGGTGGAAAAAGAAATGAAGAAGACGAAATGCAGAATGATTGTAGCGTTGCCTCTCTTCTATCCAGCTTATATGATTATTCCAAGTCAAATAAAGTAGAATGGTTGGTGTGCTGTCATGTTTTTTGAAGGCCAACTCCAACTCGCACCACAAAAAAGGAAAAAAGAAAGATACGGAGAACTAATTAAAAGTTCAAAACTTTAGTTTTAAAGAAAAAATGACAAATGATAAATAAATATGTAGTGAATAGTACTAAGGAAAGGTAAAAATGTGGGTTTTTATTAAAAATGAACATTACCGGGAGTGTTTCATTAAAACTTCCAAAAAGATAAGGAATTGGATCCCATCCGGATCTATTTTGTTGGGATCCTAGGAATCCCACATCTTAGTAATTCATTGTGTATTGTGCGGTTGATAATTGACTTTTTTATTTAAAATTAAACACAATAGTATTTGACGAAAACTAACCATACAATGTATAATAAATTGTTAAGATGTGAGGATCCTTAAGATCTCTACAAAGTAAATCCAGAGAGAATCCTCTTTCAAAAAATAAAGCCTTCATTACCTTACTATTCATGAAAGACAAGCGTTCAAATTATTACTTTGAGGATCCTCTTCCAAAAAATAAAGCCTTCATTCCATACCATTTATGAAAGACAAGCTTTCAATTATTACTTCTTTTTATTTTTGGTGAATTATTACTTTTTTTTTTTCTTAACAAACGATATTTGTCCATTAAAGGAAAGGAAGTGCACTTTGAAATTCGTCTTTGATTAGAATTGAACTTAAGACCTCCCACTTACAAGTGAAAATGAATACCAAGAAACCGTAATACTAAGTAGCAATTATTACTTCGTAATTCGTATTCAAATAATAGCTCTGTTTATGGAGTTTACGTATCTAATCTATGTCAGCACCGCTTATAATTTTTTGTTTATCAGTAAAATCATGCTATCGTTTTTGATAAACCATAGCTATGTTTTTAGATTTTACCTTAATCGTCTGATCTCTTTTCTTTTGTAAATTTTCATCTGGAGCATTGCCAAGCTTTGGTATTGTACGTCTTCTTTATTTGTTGGTTGGGTTGTGCAACTTTTCCAATGGGGTTTCAGTTGTAATAAGTAGTAAAAAATTAGATTTGTTTGGTTTAATTGATTTAACAAACAAATTTCGAAATTTAAAATAATTTAACGGCAATCAACACTAGGGTGAGTATCACTTTCACTTAAGGAGTGGGCAAAAATGCACTCCTAATTTATTGATATTTTTCTGCATTTGTAAGTGAAAATTTTTTTAGATTCGAACATCTCAAATGATGAGTTTGATATTAATTTATTCTTTCATCCCTTAGTGTAAATATATCGTTATAGAATAAATATATAAATATATTTTATCGTCTTTATAGGAACTATTAGATACAAGATCAATTAAACAACTTTTCTGTTTTGAGAAAAGCGGGCATTTTTACAACTATTCTGAATATCGTATGTACCCTTTTGCTGCACAAGTTGTGCACATTCATGCACCCCAGATCGTCTATTTTTGTTACGTTTTTATCCTTACTTTAGTCGCTAAAATTTAAAATCAATAGAGGTGGTTCATGAGATTATTTATTGTAAAACATTTTAGTCATTATGTGAGAAATTATCGTTCAATTGAAATTATTCTTATCAAATCAACTCCTCCTCTTGGATTACTGGTTTCTTTAATTTAATAGAGATTTTCACAGAATGGCCGAAATGATTGACGGTGGATAATCTCATAAACTACTTCTATCGATTTTAAATCTTAAAGACCAAAGTGAGAAGTTATGACAATCTTATAAACAATTTTGGCTAAAAACGTTTCTGTTACTGATTACACCATTGAATTTACTTTTGTTTCTCTATTGGCTTTTGAGAAATTATATGCATTGGTTGGTAAACATTGTATTTTGCTTTCTTTGTTTTGTGTGTTTGGACATGAAAAATTTACAATTGTAGTTCAAACAATACCTTCAAACCAGTGGTGAAATTTCAAAAAGGAACCAAATTAACTCCAATAAACAAACATACTAACGATGAAGATTATCAAATATGTGGAAGAGATCAGTGAAAAATTGTATGTGGAAGGGATAACAAATTGCAGGAGTTGCCATGGCAGGTAATTTGGTGTTGCTTATGTTTATCTTCTAGAAAACAAGTGTACTATAATGACATGGCATGACATTTGCTTTCTTTAACTTTGGGGGAATCAGATTAACAATCAAAAATTAGAATTTTCGCGTGAAAAAAAAATAATTGGAATTTGAGATCTCTAATTTTCAAGTTTAAATTTCATATAGCTAGGTATCGGTTTCGAGTTTTTATAAGTGAGACTTAAAAAATAAATAAATAAACTCAACCATGAGTGGTCACCACCACCACCTATCACCACCATCACCATTTATCATCATCATCAAAATCACAGCTACTGCCACTATCACATGTTGTTGTGGCCCCTGTTGCTGTCACCATTCATATCATCGTCACCGTCACGACCTACCATCATCATCACCGTCGCCTCCACCACTATCACTACTGGCACATTTCATTTATATATTAATGATTCTTTACACATTCAATTTCGTTATCAAATTTCATTGTTCCTTTAGGTTAACCAAATAAAAACATTCACAAATTTTAATGAATGAAATTCTATCATTTTTATTTTGATCATTTTGAAATTCTTTCGTAATTTTAAATTTCCTTATTAAAGCACAGTGTTGCTCAAACTGTCGTGTCGTTGCTCCTTGGATTTTTTTGATGATTTTCTGTCCTGCATGTGAACCATGCGCGGGCTGGCAATGTCCTCATGGGCCTTGTGCTGGGCTTTGATTTTATTGTTAGGTCTGTCTTTCAGTTTTGTTACTTTTGTGGTTAAAATTTTTGTTTTGTGAGGGCCTTCGTTAAAGCTCTTAAAATTTAACTAATTCAAATCATTTAGATTTTGTTGGTTTTTTCAGGGCATATCTTATCTGCGATCATGGTTGGGGAAAGATCTAAATTACAATTTTTTTTTTTTTTTGAAAAAATTACAAATTTTATTGAATATATGGAAAATATAAGTTAAAATTTTCTATTGATTAGAGAATAATATATAAAAATAATAACTAAGACCGTTCAATTTTTTCTTTACATACTATTGTTTAATATTGTTCTTTTCGTTTGATTCATTTAATTTTGAAGTTAAAATAAAAAGAGTGTACGAGAGTCTAAACTAGTTGCGTGCCAATAATATTAACATTCTAATTCAATACAATTGTATGGTAGGATTTTATGATTTGCACATGCGAGTTTGGTTGGTTTGATGCAATTCTTTTCAAGGAATTTCCGCTTTCCAAATATTCCATCATGAAAACAACACCCTTTGATGATAATTTCTTCAGCCAAATCAAGGTTAGGGGTCCGCTAAGAGTGTCATTAAAATTTATAGAAGTCTTAAAATTGTACCCAAACACAAACACTGATGCATGCTATGGAAAATAATGCTCCAAGCTTACAAGAGTACAACCACCAATCCACCAGATTACCAGATGACCATATTCAACTCAACTTCTGTATTATTAGTTTGTATATTTTTATCATCGCATGACTTAACACATCAACAAAGAATAAAAAATAAAAAAAACACATTGAATGAAAACGTCAGAAATAAATACGTAATTGTGTATACAAACAAGAGATTAGGATTTAGGTGGTTTGGACATGTGAACCGAAGACCTAATGCTCCGGCTAGAAGATGCGACTATGAGACGAAGATTCAAGGCATAAGGGTAGAGGAAGACAAAGGAAGGGTTGGAAAGAGACTAGGAAAAAATATGGAATACGAGTTAACAGAAGACATGGCAAAAAATCAAAGATAATGACGTTGTAGAATTCATACACCCCGTCGCTGTTTACTTGAGAGTCGTTAATTGCCACGGAACAAAACCCACCAAAAAACTCACTTTGCAGTTAGCTAGGGCACAAAACTTACACTCCAAGGCACACTCTTATGTCTTGTGTGTCTAGTTTAATTACCAATATAAAATTAAATAACTAAAAACAAAAAACAGAAGCATGTATCTAAAGAAACTTGGATTAAAAGAAAGAACATGTACATTTAGATCAAGTATGAGAACTAATCCACTTCATTAATCAAAAACCAAAAACCAATTAAACCTAATTAATCAAGTAAAAAAAATCTTACTTTATCGGTTAACCCAATTCCACTAATCTCATCACTAATCCGTATTATTAGTTTCTCATTCTATCCTACAATCTCCATTAGTCTTGTTTATAGTTTCTCAGTCAATCAATTTCCCTGTGCCTTCCCGACAGTCGCAAAGCAGCTCTTCGACCTCACCATCGCCGGCCGGCAGTCGCCCAGCCTCTCCCTCCTCGGCGAGTTCAGAGTCCGCCGCAACAGCTGTTTCACCGCCGATATCAGATCCTCCGTCGGGTTCGCGGGAGGACTCGACATCCGAAACTCCTCGTAGAAGCTGACGTGCCGCTTCATCGCCTCCTCCGTGCTAATCTTCCTCGGTGACCTCGAGTTCTCGTCCTTGATCGCCTCAGTGCAGAGTCCGCAAATCCACCGGCCCCGGTGCCTCTCCTTCACCGTCGCTATGTACGCCGGTGTGCACTCCTCCGCCAAACCGCAGCAGTAGCACTTCACCACCACCACCTCCTCCTGCGGCTCCGAAACCCGCTTCGCCTCCACCGACTGCATAACAAAACCTCTCGAGAAAAAACGAAACTTTGAAGAATTCCTGACGCAATTTTTTACGTTACGGCAAGATTATGGCGGAGACTTGAAAGTCTTCACTGTGAATTTGCAGAGTGGCTTGATTTGCTCTGTATTACTGTTTTATTTATAGTGAACTGTTTCGGAGCCGAAATAGGACACTTCTCGGATTTGCATTCGAATTCGGATTCCCGATTCCCGAAGAAGTTACGTATTTGGGGGCGCGGTAATTTTGTTACTGGATCTTGGGATTTCGGGTTGAGTTTCGGTATGTTTCGTCAATTTGTTACTGCTTTGGGTTTCGGAGTAAAGATTTGGGAAAGTTTTGTTGATTTTGTTTTGGATTTTTCCACGTGTGGCCTTGCGATTGGGTGGAATCCACGGCCTCTAAATTTTAGGGGTGTGATATTTACACAACTTTTTTTACTTTTTATAAAAAAATTTAATTTTCTGTCGTCGGATAGGATGAATTGAAGAAAATTAAAGGACATAAATCAATAAAAGCTGTGTGAGAAGTAAAAAGAAATGTGTGAATAACACATTCCAAATTTTATTGCCTGATTTCGTTTTGGTCTGCCATGTGTAGTGTTGTGATTGGGTGGAGGGTTGCATTCTTTGGCTTGCTGGGTAGGGGATTGTAACTTTCGGACTCTGTATAAGAGATTTTTCAGTGTAACCGTCACACGAGGTGGTACATCACATGTCGCTATATAAATGGTGGGATATATTTGTTAAAAAAATAATAACTTAAAAAATAAAATTTCTCATTATTACATAAAAATACGTGATATACTAACTGTATTTCCGTCACAACAAAAAATTTCTCATCCTGTACAAGCATACAGTGTTTCGAGTTCTCCGAGCCAAACATGATACTTAAGGAAGAAACCACGCGGTATTTTTTGTGCACGTGCGCGTCTGTGGAAGGTTGAGTCATCATGGACATGGCGTGTAGGTCCCTTTTTTACGCTAGGCGGGGTCCGGTTATGTGAGGATGGGTCCCAAGAAATTGTATTTTAGCAAATCACGTCTTTCGCGTGCGATTAAGTTGTACCCTATGATCCCTAAATGGGTAAATTAAAGTTTAGGTTTTTGTTTCTAGAATAATCAAATCTCTAAATAATAATATATTTTAGAACTGTTATTGACAATTCACAATTTTCATCATGTACTTTTCACAACTATACTTTTATTTTAAATATTGAAATTACAGAGTATACGATAAGAATTTTTTAATGTCAATAACAATTCTCTTTAGTTAGATTTCAATCATTCCTTTCATATATTTGTGTAGAACTTATACTTCGATCAAACCAAATCAACAACACGAAAACATGAACAACGGAAGCACACCTTTCTTATTGATATAAAGGAATACAAGAAAACACACACACAAATAGTTTTCTTGTCTCATAAGTCTCTCACACACTATATCCACTCTTGTACCCTAACGTTAAGGACCCTTTTATACTAACTCAAAAACCTAATCCTAAACTGAGTTGGAATTCTAAACCTATCTGAAAACTTGCGTCCAAGTTTCCCATACCTATTACAATTAGAACTTCCACACCAGTTAGGAATCCTTCTCGGATTCTATACCAATTTCTAACAAACTCCACCTTGGTAAGAACTCCGCCTCGAGACTTCTTCTGCTTCCATCGCTCCACCATTTTCAAGTATCAAACCTGTCTTACATGCACCAAATTCAGACAATGGCTGAATTTTGATGCACCCACCACCTTTGTTAACATATCTGCAGGATTATCAGCTGAAGCAATTTTCGTTACGAGAATCTCGCCTTCAGCTATAATCTCTCGAACAAAATGATATCTTACATCTATATGTTTGGTTCTTGCATGATGCACTTGATACTTCGCCAAGTAAATAGCACTTTGACTATCACAATGCACATCTATCTTGCGCTGCTTAACTCCCAAATCTGCTATTAATCCCAGTGTCCAAATAGCTTCTTTAATTGCTTCTGCCATTGCCATATATTCTGCTTCTGTAGTTGATAAAGCAACCGTCGGTTGTAGAATTGATCTCCAACATATAGGACCATTTGCCATGGTAAACACATATCCTGTGGTAGATCTTCGTTTGTCTAAGTCACTAGCGAAGTCAGAATCTACATATCCAATAGAGAACTTCTCGATTCCTTTATCATTCCGCTCAAAACAAATTCCCGTGCTCCTTGTTCCATGCAAGTATCGCAGTATCCATCGAGCAGCTTCCCAATGCATTTTTCCAGGGTTATGCATAAATCTGCTTACTAATCCAACTGCATGAGCAATATCAGGTCGAGTACACACCATGGCATACATCAACCCTCCAACCAAACTAGAATAAGGAACGTCCTTCATCTTAGTCCTTTCTTCATCAGTTTTAGGGCATAACTGCGTGCTCATCTTGAAGTGAGAGGCCAGAGGTGTACTTACGGGTTTGGTTTCATCACGGATGCCAAACTTGTGTAGCAATTTTTCCACATACTGTTTCTGTGATAAACACACCAGCCCTTTCTTTCTATCCCGTGTGATTTCCATCCCCAAAATTTTCTTTGCTTCGCCAAGGTCTTTCATCTCAAACTCATTTTGCATCTGAGTTTTGAGTTTTGAGATTTCTGTTTGATCACTAGAGGCAATGAGCATATCATCTACATAAATCAGTAAATATACATATATACCTTTCCTCGTTTTCTTGTGATATACACAGTGATCGTATTGGCTCCTAGTGTAGCCAAAATCCTTCATAACCTTGTCGAACCTTAAGTACCATTGCCTCGGTGATTGCTTCAAACCATATAGAGATTTGTTGAGCTTGCATACTAGATTCTCCTTTCCTTTCTCTTCGTATCCTTCTGGTTGACATATGTAAATTTCTTCAGCCAAATTTCCATGCAGAAACGCAGTTTTTACGTCCAATTGTACTAATTCGAGATCGAACTGTGCCACCAGTGCTAGGAGGATTCGAATGGATGAATGTTTCACCACGGGAGAGAAGATTTCATTGTAATCTATTCCCTCTTTCTGAGCGTAGCCTTTTGCTACTAATCTGGCTTTAAACCTTAATGAACTTGCATTATTTATTCCATCTTTCTTTGCATACACCCATTTGCATCCAATGGCCTTTCTTCCCCTAGGTAGCTCCACCAGATCCCAAGTTCTGTTCTTCTTTAGTGACAACATCTCATCATCCATAGCTTCATGCCAATTTTTAGCTTCTTTACTCCTTGATGCTTCTGTGAAATCTGTAGGGATGTCTACCTCGATTACAGGCAATGCATAGGCTATACAGGAGACGCAATCTTTGAATTTAGCAGGAAGCCTAACCTCTCTTTTTCCTTTTCTCTTGGCGATACAATCATCTTGATCTGGTACATCATTAATCATACTGCCCTCTTCTTGTTTTTCTTCTTGATCGACACTGATTTGTCCTTCATTGTCGAGTTTGTCTTCATCTCTTGAATGTTCAGTTAGTTCTTTTGCTAGCTCCACCTCTTGCACAATCTTTCGATCTTCCCTTAGTTGCATATGGGTTTCATTAAACGTCACATTTCTGCTTATTACAATCTTCTTGAGTTCTGTACTCCATAATCTGAATCCCTTGACACCACTGTTAAACCCTAGGAAGATAGCCTTCCTTGCTCTCGGGTCTAATTTAGTTTCTCTAACATGGTAATAAGCATCACACCCGAATACCCTTAGTCTGTCATAATCTTGAGCAATTTGTCCTGACCATACTTCCATTGGAGTCTTTCCGTTTAAAGCTGAAGAAGGAAGACGGTTTAGGATGTGACATGCATAGCTCAATGCTTCTGCCCAAAAACGTTTATGCAGTTTTGCTTGGGACAGCATGCATCTGACCTTTTCTAACAGTGTACGATTCAACCGTTCTGCAATTCCGTTCTGCTGGGGAGTTTCTCTAACACTGAAATGTCGTGTTATACCTTCCCTTTTGCAGGCTTCAAAGAAGGGATCAGACGTATACTCTCCCCCATTATCACTTCTTAAGACTTTCAGTTTTTTTCCAGTCTTCCTTTCGACTGTGGTTTTCCATTCTAAGAAAATATCCAGCACCTCATGTTTGTGCTTCATCATATAAATCCATGCTCTTCGTGAATAATCATCAATGAAGGATACGAACCATCTCTTTCCTCCTAGGGATTCATTCTTTGCAGGCCCCCAGACATCTGAGTGTACATAATCCAGGATTCCCTCTGTTTGATGTATTGCCGTGCCAAAACTTACTTTGGTTTGTTTGCCAAGGATGCAATGTTCGCAAAAATCGATCTTCCCACTTTTGGCTCCCTCTAGGACCCCTTGTTTAATAAGTCCTTGCAATGCCTTGTTTCCCACGTGCCCTAGCCTCATATGCCATAGACAGGATGCATCGGATTGATCACTTGCTGCTGCCATAGCCATCGAAGATTCAATAGTGGTGCCTTCTAACAAATAAAGCAACCCCCTTCTTGGAGCTTTCATTAACACTAATGCTCCTCTTGCAACCTTCAATGTTTGTTTTTCTGAGTAGAATTTACAACCTTGATCTTCAAGAGTTCCAAGCGAGATTAAATTCTTCTTAAGATTTGGGACATATCTCACCCCTTGTAGCTCTCGGACTACACCATCATGGTGTCTGATTTTAATACTACCAATTCCTTTCGTTGCACATGGATTATCATCCCCCATATATACCATTCCAGTGAGGGTCTTGAACGAAGAAAACCAATGACGTTGAGAGGTCATATGATGCGTGCATCCAGTATCAAGCACCCAGTGATTCATATAATTTATTCCGTCTGATGCAGTTAGGGCACAGACGAAATCTTCATTGTCAGCCTCGACAATGTTTGCCTCTGAGTCTTCATATTTCTTCTCTTTGTTCTTGGCTTTGATTTTGGGACAATCTTTTTTCCAGTGCCCTTTCTCATGACAGAAGGCGCACTCATCTTTATCGAGAAACTTTCTGTTGCTTGAGGTACCTCTCGAACGAGACTTGCTTTTCTTCTTAGTTGCTGGTCTTCTTTCCTTTGATCTTCCCCTTACCATTAGTGCTTCGGAATTGTTTCTCTCTTGTCTGTCTAAATTGCGGACTTCATGATTCATCACTGCACTAGAGATTTCATCAAACTTAAGAGTTTCTCTACCATAAATCCATGTCGTAACAAACGACTCGTAAGATTCAGGTAGGGAATTCATCAGAATCAACGCTTTATCTTCATCTTTGATTGTCTCTTCTAGGTTCAGAAGTTCAGCAATCATCTTGTTAAATTCTTCAAGATGGTCAATCATCTTAGTTCCTTCCTTGTACTGAAACCGATACAATTTA